TTAGGATACTGTGTAATTTTGACACAGGCTATAAATGCTAACTCTTTGTTGATATAATGCCAGTAATTGCTGTGTTCAGCACCTAACATCTGACAGCACAAAATCCATTAATTAAGAAATGATACTTTACAAAGCTGTAATTTTTACCAAGAGCTTCAGAGTTACTTACACTATCCAAGGTGATTTCTCAGTTATTTCGCTCTGCAGCTGCTTGTGTGTGATCTTACTTCCTTTAAAATCTTCTTTCAGAGGGTATTTCCGCTACTTTTCTTCTCAAAGCATGCAATTGGATGTGTGTCATAACTTCACGTTGCTCCACTGCCTTCCTATCACAGACTTTTCATATTGAATTGTGGCATGCTTAATTGCATACAGAAAAAAATATGGCTGCTTTAAAATCCATGCAAAACAGAATGTAAAAGAGTTCATGTGGCCCTGTTGTATTGCATAGCTGCAAGAAGTGAGAAAATTTGCTTTTAAACTGAGAACAAATTTGAAACCAAAGCAGCCATTTGGAAGCAATTTCTAGGATAATGTATTTGATTTAGGGTGATGTCTGTGAGCCGAATGCACGGATTGGGATCTCATGGCGCTAAAACTGTTGGAAGAAAAGATGGTCTCTATCCTTTGTATCTTAATGAATAGCAGTAGAGGGAGGAATACACCAAAGAGGTAGTATGAGATTAGCACTGTCAGCTTTCAGTTGCCACGTGTTGCTTTTCCCAGCTACACTGTGCCACCGATGCAGGAACCTCTTACAGGCACCCGGCGTGATAGGTCCTGCACCGTGCTCCCTGGACCAGGAGGGGCTGAGGAGCACGGTGGAAAGACATCTACTTGTTCAGAACCCAGTCATGAATCATCAGGTGATGATTCATCACGGGTCCCTCCGGGTTTATTAGCTACCACTCAATGCTGGCCTTGACATACCTGCATCACTTCCAACAGAGAAATTCCTGCATTTCTATGATGTGCTTCCTATGTCTTAGGTTCCAAGGGATTTGTTAATGTAGGTGTCCTGTTTGAAGAGCAGACAATAGATTGTGATCTCAGCAGTGTAATTTCTCTTAAGAATTTGTTTTTTTCATAATTTCCTTTTGTATTTTAGAGGTGTCAAGGAAAGGAGAGATCTAAGAGAAATTTGAAGAAATGAATGTTTGTGGTGTCCCTTCAAGTAGGAACAGTGGCATGGGAGAAAACATGAGAATTCATGACTGCATATATGACAAGCTGATATTAGGGAGAGGACATAACACCCTAATATTAGATAAGGGATAAATGGACTGCAGTTGGGCTGTGAATATATCTGACAGTGAGAGTGGTGGCAGTTGTTGTTTAATGTAGTAAAAAGAAAAACAGTTTAGAGAATCCAGAGATGAGAGTTTTTTGGAAAAAGCATCATTAACAGCAGCATTCACATTGGATGGAGAGCAGACAGGACTAAATGGAAGGTCAGAAAGGAGAATGTTACAATGACTAAGGCATGATACAAGAATTCAGGTTAAAAGTTTACCTTTGTGTATGGATTTTAGAGCTGATAGGGAAAAAGAGTGTTTAGATCTAATCAAATTGTACCTGGGAGAGTATAGAATTAAAGATGACAACTGTTTTATGTATGTAAGCAATGAGTTGTTTAGGAATGGCTCCCTAGTGATATAAAACAGACATTAAAAAGCATGAAAAAGAAAGGAACGTTATATGTTGTTGTTTCTTTCCAACTCTGTCGTTTGGGCTAATGAAAAATATTCATTCTTTTTTGGATCGTGTGGATTCCTAGACAATCTTGGCTATAACAGTGTTCCTTTGACAACATGAATTTGGTCAAAATAGCAAGCAGCAGGGAATCCAGATTAATCCATTCTGGCTTTTCTTTACCTAATGGAAGATAATTCTCTCCCCACTAAAATAAAGACTGTGATACAGGGTCTAATTACAAAAGGCTGTTTTCCTTTATGCTGCCAGCTTTTTTGATTTGTGTAATCAAATGTGTCAAGAACTCAAGAAAAGAGGTGTTCTCCAGTGGTACAATACTGGCATGGAGACTTTGTGTGAGCTTTTACAACTGTTACAACATATAAGACTAAACTAAGCTAAAGTCTTTTGGGAGTGGTTGACCTTTCTTCTCCAGCTGTCAGCTTATGTTCAGTTTAAACCTAAACCATATCTCCTTTTCCTAGTCTTGTACTTCTTTCTTTGCTTGCCTGCCCTTTGACCTACTGTCTCTCCCACATGGAACTGAAGGATGTTCCATGGCTATAAAATATTTCTTTTTCTTTTTTTCTCTCTGGCATAATTCGTACTCTCTGTTAAGAAAGCAGACAGGGAAGATGAAAAATTTTGCTCTGTAGTGTGCAAGTCTGAAGAAAGGTGGTAAATCTTTGGGTCAGGCACTGGGATAAACTTAAGAAAATTGAGGCATTGACTGGGTGATGATGTTACATTGGGAAAATCAAAGGTGTAGCTGTCACCTTGAGGAAAGGAGAATTGTATTGTGCCCCAGGCCTCTGAAACAGAACTTAAGGTAGAGGTGTTACTGCTGCAGTTCTAGTCTTCATCAGTTTGCAATAAATCAGTTGCTTAGAAATTCTTCTTTCCGTTAGTTCATGCTTATAAAAAAATCGCTGTTGCAATGCTCTGTGATTTGTGTGTGTGCGCACACATGCGTATGTTTACATGAGTAAGAGATTCTCTAGTGCTTACCTGTAACTTAAAATGTAAACTCAAAATATAAAAGGTTGTGCAGCTATTGCCTTTATATTGCTGTTTTTAATAATTGTTAGTGTCTCGAAGATTTTTCTATTTGACTGGAACATGGGGTGTTGCTTTTTCTTTTTTTTTCTTGAAAGTTTCACCACATGTAGATTTTATGGTAGAAAAAACAGTAGTAGGAAGAGCAGAGGGGAATTCTGGAATTCTGCTTTCTCCTAACCCTTACCTCAAAACCATGCTCTTCCATGGCATTTTTTTCTAATGTGTGTGAGCTTTGATCTGTGGAAGGGTGACATGGCCGTGACTTCACCGGTCACATCTGTTTCGAACAATCTGTTCTGCTGCAGCTCAGCAAGTAGCAGCCTGTACTGAGATTGTTGTTTTCTTGTTTCTTCTGATTTAAACACCTCACCTATATTGTTACCATTTACCATTTTAACATGGGGAATATGACATGTGCCACTAATTGGGTAACCTTGGTTCTTTCTTGTAAAATGTATACCTTGCATGGCCAAATTTCTATCTTAACTACATAGATGTTCAGTGTGAGCACCTGTGTAATTGAAAGTGAAACTTTGTCCACAGTATTTAGTTACATGACATTTTTTCCTCCCAAGGGGTCCCTGATAGATGAGTGTTCATGACAGATAGCATTCAGTGAATGAGGCAGCTGCTTAATTTTTGTCATTGCTGTTCCCTGAACAGTCCCTCTGAAACCCAGCACGTTACAAATTCTTCCATCAATAAAAACTGCATTCTTTTCCTGCAAGTCCTTCCTGGCATACTGGAAAGTCTCACAACTCTGAATGAAAGGGAAATATTATACCAATTTACTGGATGAGGAATTGAGACCCAGTGACCTTCCCAAACCAGGAGAGAAATCTCCATCAGAACTGATCTCCATCAGTTCCAGTTGGAACTTAAAAGTAGCATAGACCAGCTTATTGACTTCAAATCTGAGCTTTTTATCTTCAATCATGACTTGATGGTTCAGCCAGGCCATCTCCTGCCACTCAGGTTCTGTACAAAAACTAATGCCACGTGCTTTGTAGACTGTGAAAGGAGTAAGGCAAGAGTCCTGAAAAAGCAAACTGTATCTAATTGCGTAATCTGATTGTGTTAATCCTGTACATCACTCAGACTTAACTATAAATTACTTCTAATTCTTCCTTATTTTCTTTTTCTTTTTTTTTTTTTTTTTTTTTTTTTTTTTTTTTTGTGTGACAACATAAAGGATTTCTTCTATGGATGTAGGGCTATGATAAGCAACAAATGTAGAATTTAACAAGTTCACAATTTTATTTTATTTTTTCAAATACGAATTCCATGGGTTTATGTTGGCCAAGAGAACAATTTAGTAAACTGAAGGAGATACAGCGCAGTTCCAATAAATATATTGTTAATGGTTAACAGGCCTGTTAAGAAATCTGTTTCTATAGTAACTAACTGCTGCAGATTGTCACTTCCTCTAGCATTTGGAACAGTACCAAAGTGAATTTAACACTGATGCTGCGAGGGACAAATCCTATGAGAGCTGCAATAGATCACTGCTAGCAGTATGCTTTATTTGGTATCGAGATGTATGAACAACACAGTTCAGTAACCATAGATGGTGTTTAAGAACTATTTATTCCTACCCTTTTTTCTAATGCTCCATGTGCATTTGCTTTTTTCCTTCTATACAAAGACTGGTCCTCATTTGAGTCTTATAGCAAGGGCACATAAAATGCATAGGTATGCTTAAGATTTTAAGTTTAAATGTGTGTGCGTGTATATGCTACTGAGTTTTAAATGTCTGTGAAGAGATTCACCATGTGTGATTTTTCAATAACAGAGAGGGAGGCTCAAGTATGGCTCAAGCTTTAAAAAAAAAAGCTCAGGTGAGTTTAAAAGAAAGTGTTTGTCTTATCTGGTACTAGCCCTCTGTTTCTTCTCTGAAGCATAGTGAAGGGAGGTTTTTCTTCTGCTTATAGAAGTGTGTATCCTCAGATGAAGTGTATGATTTGAGTGGCTATGTATTCTGTTTCAGTGTATGTTTGTACCTACTTTTTTTTGTCCTTTAAGTTGAGACTGCACTGAGCAAACTCATGATCAAGTGAAGGGCTGAAACTTTTTTAAGGGGAGGGGAAAAAGCTTCGGAAGAGATTGATCTTCTTTCTAGCAACCACAGTTTGGGCTGCTGGTGCAATTCTGAGAGAAACAGAACTTTGTTTTTGCAAGTTTGTGGATATGCATGCAGTGAACACTCGGAGATGTTACAGAAACTTCTTTCTTGTGTTGTTTCTTTCTAGATGGATGAGATAAAAGGCAAAGACAGAGTGATTCTGGCTCTGGAGAAAGACCTTGGTGTCCAGGCAGGCCATACACAGAAACTGCTCCTTCAGAAAGAAGCTTTGGATGAACAGCTTGTCCAAGTGAAGGAGGCAGAAAGATACCACAGTAGTCCTAAGAGAGAGCTTCCTGCAGGAGTGGGGGATATCAGTGAGCTGATGGGAAGCCCGGTAAGAAAAGTGTGTTTTCTTCAAATGTTCAACACAGAATAATTACAGCCTGGGTGTTTGCATTGGTTTTGTGGTTACTTTTAAAATACTAGAAGGACTAATTAATGGTAAACACGCTGTTTCACTGGTGATTCCTTGGATCTCTTGAATTTCAAAGACTGTTGAAAAATGTCAATATAGAACTTTTAGAATTTACATTGGGAACTTTACCTATGAACCCCATTATTATCTTAGCTATTTATTTCATAACTTCTGGAATTATTTTAACTAATGGTATCTAGATATTATACTTTTCAAATACTGTGCCAAGTGATTTTAATCTATCCTATGCACTAGATTATTTTTTTTTACTTCTAGCTGATAGTAAGAAATCTGGTGAGAAGTAACCAGTAATAGGTAAATAAACATTATTTATCTAGTTTAAAAAAAAAAAACACCTTTACATGCATTTTACAAGTAGACACTTTTCATGTAATATATCATATAGCCTTTCCACAGGATGTTTTTGTTCAGTGTTTCAGTTAATTAAAATGAGTTTTCCAGACATCAATGTAGAGAGCCTATTTTAAATTTACACAATCCACTTAAACCATGATGTTAAATTTATGGATAATAAAATATTTTTTTAAAACTAATGTTATATATCTGTGTGTTTTTTGATGTAAAGGAGCAGCATTTGGATGAACGAGATGTGCGGAGATTTCAGTTAAAAATCGCTGAACTGAATGCTGTAATAAGGAAGCTGGAAGACAGAAATACTCTCTTAGCAGATGAAAGAAATGAACTGGTAAATTAATTAGTAATAACACAGATGGTGACTGGGAGGGCATATTTATAGGAAAAGATTTAATGCCAGAAAGTCAGTGTTATAAATTATTTACAAATTAGTCCTGGTTGGCCTCAATCAATTGTAACTAAATATTACAGAAATTTCTATAGAAATTCGCTTTGTGCCCATAAAAGACATGGATGGAATCTCTCTTGCACTAGAAAAATAAAACTTTATAAATTTATTTTGGGATCATCTTAATCAAATTGACCGGTAGCTTTCCTGTGGCACTGTGTAATGATGTTTTATAAAACATGCATAATCTATGCACTTAACTCACTATATTAATCTTTTTGAAATTTGACATTGGTTTTGTGGCATACTTATGCTAGCTGGGAGTTAAAAAAGCTTTTTTGTGCTGGAGATGAAAAATCTGCCATTTCTCAAGGGAAATCTCTTAAGTAGGTGAAATTATCCTAGGAGAGTGATAGTAACTTACAAAAGAAAGGATATGACGAGAATTTTAAGAATGAATTTTATTAGCCTGCATTGCTACTTAATTGCTTGTACTGCGGTTAATGGTAAAATTCCCATTGACTGTGATGGGAGGTGAGTTTTTACAATAAGAATCTTTGCATATGTCCTCTCCTAATGCCCTATTTCTAGTGGCAGAAGAAAAGATTTTTCATTCTAATCAGATAAAATTTTCCCTTGTGCAAGTTATGTATCTGATTCTAAAAAAATGCTATGGTGTATGGTGAGGGCAGAAGGGGAGGGCACTCTTGCCACGTGTCAGTCAGAGTGAAGCACTGACATCTTCCTCCTTGTGTTGTCAGACTTAGCTCTTCGTGTTGAGTTAGGAAGGCTTTGTTTATCATAAAAGGACTTAATTTAGTTATGACATCTCAATGATTATTGGAAGAGCTAATTTCTGAAATTTTCTTGTCCAATATCTTGGCTGAATTTATTAGTGAAGAAAACAGAACAATGCTAGACTAAAATTGAATTAATTGAGGACATAATTGTGTATTTTTCTTTAAACTTCTCCTCTTTAAAGAGTTGTATAGTATAAACTGCCCTTTCATATGAAAAAATTGATGTCCTCACTAACAATTTAAATTTCTTGGGGTGAGAAGAACATGCACGTTAGCCTGGGTACAGGTCACCATTTTTGCTAGTTTGCCTAGATGCTGAGTGTTTCTTATTTTGGGTTTTTCCCCCACTTTTACTGCTATACTTTTCTCTGTTCTACAGTCTCAAGAACTCTTGCCTTTTTTTCAAGATTGCATTATGTAAAGACAAGATAATTCAGCCTCCTAGTCTTTTCTGTGGACATAAGTAATTCAAAACATCCTTGAGGAATGCTGAAGTACTGCAACATCTATCCTTCAGTGTCCCTCTAGATGGTGGGCATGTATGATCAGTCAACTGTTCTTCTTGATGCTTGACCTAAAGGCATAAGAAATATGGAGAAGGTTTTGTCATATTGTGAGACAATATTACATATACCCAGTAGTTATCAGTGAACTAGTGTGATTAAGCATGCCAAAAAATAATTTTCTCCTGAGAATGAAACAGAAAACCAAATACTCAATAAAATTATCTCAGGAGAAAGATTGTATTTTTCTCATTTCCAGTGAAAACTCAGTAAATTGAAAAATCTTTTGATTGGAAAAAATAGATTATTTTTTTTTTTTTTGAAAAATCTTTTGATTGGAAAAAATAGATTTTTTTTTTTTAAAACAAACAAAACAGCTCAAGGATTAATGAAACAGAGTGAAATATTGAATACACACAAACGCAAGAAAGGGCAGTAATTTGCTTCACATAATTGTCTAACATCATAAAACCACAGGAACAAAATTGAGCAGCTTGAAAATGTCAGCAGTATGCTGAGATTGAATCTGTGCTCTCTGGCTGACTTTCTCATTGCTCTAATTACACATCAGGTATAGCATTTTTAGAGCAGAGTAGGAAGAGTTTACTCCTTCTAAGGGGCAGTGAAAACAACTACCTTAGAGACCTAGTTGCTCACAAAAAGCTTTAAGAAATGAGATTAGTTTACCAACAAATCACGTTTATGGATCATCATAAGTGTTTTCCACGAGCAAAATCCAATGACCAGATGTAGTGTTTTTGTAGACTACAGAAGTGCTATTTCTTATCTGTTTGGACTCCTGTAGTTCTTAGTTCAGCAGTATTCTATATCAGATGCCACTTAATGAAAGAACTAAACTTTCTGAATGAAAGAAGAAAGCGAGTGAAAACACTCATATTTCTTCTTTCCTACAAGTATAAACTAAACACACTGATCCTTTGCCATTTGCAGCTGAAACGTTCTCGGGAGACAGAAAGTCAGTTGAAGCCTTTGGTAGAAAAAAATAAGAGGATGAGCAAAAAAAATGATGATATGTTGCAATGTATCCAGAGAATGGAAGAGAAAATAAAAAATCTGTCAAGGGAAAATGTAGAATTGGTAAGTAATTATCTCTGACATCATATTATAAGAACATATTGCACACAGTTACTTTTGAGGTGGAAGTGCTTGTGAGGTGTTTACTCTAATACAGATATTTCAAAGTCTTGAATTCAGTCAATGCAACTGAATAGTCATACTCTAAATTCAGTGACATGTGCTTTGTGTTTTATCAATTCATGCTGATTAAGGGAAGGGATCACAGATAGACAAAATGTGTTTGGAGGCTATAAAAGTGTATGACTAAAAATCAGCTTTAATAAATGCTGCTTTTATGATTAGAAGTCAGAACTGAATTGAGCTCAGAACTGAATTTGAGTGTTAGATCATTGAGTTCACTTATCTGCTTATTTTGTCCTAGATTTTCTTTGATTCTGTTTTAAAATATCTTACGTGAAATGGTACACAGAATATGTAATCTATTTTTTTGTTGTTGTTGTTGAAAGAGGCCTTATGTTGTAGTGGAGTATGCACTGATGAGTCCAAAGAATTTTTGATTACTACATCACACGTGAGAATTTTTCCTCATGTTCTAGCAAGTGACCTAAAAAAGTTCTTTATGTTTAATCTTTTTTTTCAATTTTATTTTAATTTTTGTAGAAAGAGAAGTTATCTGCACAACCAGCCCTGAAGAGGCACACATCTTTAAATGATCTCAGCAGCACACGGGAAGAACAAGAAATTGAGTTCCTTAGACTGCAAGTCAAAGAACAGCAGCATGTTATTGATGATCTCACAGTGGTAATGTTTATGACTGGTATACACATGTGCATGCACACACATCTATAGGCAAGCTAAAGATTTGAGAGCAATATTTTAACTCCAGTTGTTGTAGTGATACAGAAGTAGTTCTTTGGCATGGAAGGGTTCTTGTTGTTTCTCAGGTAGTGAAATAATTTATTTGGAATGTGTTTGAATGTCTGTACTATAAAATACTGACTTATTATGTGCTGCTTGTGGAAAGGAGTGCATCTACCTAACTTACAAAATTGACTGTCAACAACTGAAGAACTGGAAGGAAGGATCACGTTTCAAAATGTAGTGACTGAAACGTGTTGGATGTAGACCCGAGTGCAAAGCCAACCACTCCCCCCATCTAGAAATTATCCCAAAAGAAAGGAACATGCAGGTTGGCATTCATTTCACTTAACTAAGCATCTCCAACTGAGCTGGCCACGCTAGCTGTCTTTATAACAAGTGGAGAGAAATATGCATGATTCATTCAAACATAGGTAGCAGCACAGTTTAAGATTAAAATTGCACAGCTGCTGCATCCTGACTGTGAAGAACATTTAAGATGGTGCTCATAGATGTTTGCACTGTTTGATTGTGACTCTCTTGAGTTGTGTTAGAGTCGTCTGGTGCTATTTAGTGCAACGTATGATACACTCTTCTGGTACTGGCAGAAATGACGTGTCATCTCTGAGTGACCCTGCCCTTCTGGAGCAGCATCTGGAACTCAGGCAGATTATTCTAGAGCATCTCAAATGACACTTCTGACTGCTAAAAAATGATAAAATGAATGTAAGCTCATTCTGTCTAAATAAAAAAAATTAAACAATTGGATACTACATGGAAAATGAACATAGAAAATCCAAAAAGATAAAACAACAAGATGTGTTACTGCTCTGTCTGGAACGTTGTCTCTATTCTTGGCAGTCCCTCTGAGATTTTGACCCAGGATTTCTCTCTGTAATCAGTGCCAAAGATTGATGTCTGCATGCATTCTCCAGTGTCACAGTGTTACAAGCAGTAGGATGTTACTCAGACACTACAATGTAGGGTCTGATTCACAGAACAGTGCTGCTTTACCTTCCAAATACAACTGTACAGGCAGGGTCTGTGGCATGTTGTTAAATTCTCAGTATACAGCAGGTATAACCTCACTTATATTTCAGTGTAAGTATGAAAGGACTATTTTTACTGTTTCAGCCAGTAATCTGAGGAAATATATTGTATCCTGACTTCGGTCAACTTGTGATTAGTGTGAAAGTCAAATAAATAAATATTTAAAAATATGGTTTCATTTTTGCTTTGTTTCCAATTTATGGATACTTTTTCACTGTCAGAAATAAGTTAAATTGTTAACTAGGATACTGCTTTGGTTGGCAGTACACACTAATTGATGCTTTGCCTTCAATATGAATACAGTGGAAATCTGCAGTTCCATTGTGCTTTTCAGCTGTCTTTTCTGGCTCAAACCACACCTCTACAGAATACAAATGTATCATAATTATCAAGAATGATCCACATGTCACATATCCGATTAATGCAAAAGTCATCAGCTTACCTCCAGCTGAGACCAATATGATACACAGAAAATAAGAATGATAGTCTTAGGCAATATGGTTGTCTGAATTGGTTAGTATTGTCATTTGTAGGGTATCTTTGGTGCTGTGAAGCTGGTCAGTTCTTAAAAGGAAATCTGTCAAGGTAAACTCAGATGATTGCAAAAGATGCTAGTGATACAGCAAATGGTGTTTTTTAATTGGCATTATTATTATTCTGGTAGCTTGGTGTATTACTAAGGCAATAAATTAAGCAGTTTTCTTGCAAACAAGTTTAGAAACAGGAGGAGTGGGGGATTTTCAAAGCGTTTGTAAGTTCTGCACTGAGGTGAGAGGAAAGGAAAGAACGAACGAGAAGACTAGCTGGTTTCTCCAGCTGTTTGGATACCTGCTTGGGATGTAGGAGACCCAGGTTAAAGCAGGGACTGTGGCTTAACCAGGTATTGGAGGAGGGAACATTTTTCTTCCATGCTGTCTAAAATTCAACTTTCTGTTTTCAGCTTGACCTTAATATATTAATTATTCTGTAGCTTGAAATAATTGCTCCCTTCTACCTTGGCAATCACTTCCTTTCCTTGTTCTGAAAACCACATGTATAAAAGGTGCTGCATATAATTTATTGTGCTTTTCTGAATTATTTCATATTTTCCAAAACTTTGTTCCTGGAATAATGTGCTGATAACGATGAACATATTTATTGTGGTTTCCACTGGGGCTTCCTATTATCCAATTTCTGAACTGAGTATAAAGCAAAGAACTTTAAATAGAATAATACCATGCAGTGAGCAATAATTGGACACTTGGAACTTGCTATCATTCTTTTAAAAACAGAGATGTTTCAAACAAAGATGCAGAGCTAAGGAAAGAATCAGGAAAAAGGCAAGGAGACACATCACCTGCTTCCCATGTTGTTTTGCGTGTCCTCAACTTCGTGTTTTTTACCTTCTCTTTCTCCTTTTCTTTGGAATTCAAGGCTTGAATGTTCATAAACCCTGCATTTTTCTAGTTATAACCTCCTCATATTATGATATAGTTAATTATGATCTTGTTCCAAGGTCACAGTAGAGAAAAAAAATCGACTAAGTTGATGCAGACTAAGTGAGAGTGCCTTTGGATTTGAGACTTTTGCCCTACAAAGATAAATCATGTGCAACACTATCTGCATATGCATGGTTGTATATTAGAGTATGCCTGATATAATGACTTGTAATTGCTAAGGCTGGACTAGTTTTTGGCTACTGATCAGCTACTTCAGGATGGTTGGAACGCTGGAGTGAGATCATGAATTCTGTTTCCATAGTGAGCTTCTTGGTAAAAGAGTCAAAAGAACTGTCAGAAATCTGTGCCCAGTATTTAACAAAGCCTTTTCTTGCCAACTTCCATCAAGTGTTTGAAGTATATGGCTGAAGGCTTGTGTGCTAAAGGGATAAGGCACATAAAGGGATAAAGTACAGCGCGATGTTATACCAACGTGGCATTATTCAAAAGGATAAAGACATTGTCTTTGAGTTGGCTTTACCATAGGCTTTAAGAAAACTGGAATGGTGTTTCTTTGTGCTAGACATATCTAAATATATAAAAGAAACCTATACCAAAATGTTCTCTTCTTTTCCCTTCTAGGAAAGGGAACGGTTATTACGGTCTAAAAAACAGAGGAGAAAAAGTCTGAAGCCTCCAAAGGTGAGCAAACTTTCAGTTTTCCATGCATTTTGGCTTCTGTGAACAGAGCTTGTTTCAAATACTGCCTAAAATTTCATATAATTCTTCTGTTTTTCCTAGTGAGTGCTTATTAACTTTTTCTTAGGATGATTCAGGAGCTGCAAGTCTTGTACTGCACAAAAGTGTTGCTGTTTTTTGTTTTAAATAAACAATATAATTACACTTTTAGTCATTGTGGCCTAAATATTCAAGTAGCTTGAGGTCTAAATGATACAATGACTTGAAACAACTACCATTTCAAAGGACAAATGCTCAGTCCTTTTTAAAGAAAATACACTCTTTAATCTACTTGTACCAAGTAGATCTGCTTGATCGCAAAAACTTTAACTCATCCTAGAGATGTCATTGAAATGACATTTCTGTATGTGATATGTAAGTAATAAGAAGATTCTGTGTATTTTTCTCTGGTATTCTCTATTTTGCTCTAGAATGCGGAGTTCAAGAGAAAAATTTAGATCATAGAGACAGAAAAGTTTTGCTTCAGAGTGTAACTTTAACGTTTATTGTAAGATGTACTTAAAGTAATTAATTTTGCTGAATAATTTTTTTTCTGAAATTGAACATTAGCTGCCTGGAGCATGTGAGGGGAGGAGAATTGGGTAAGAGGGAAAAATGGAAATGAAGGGTGGAGAGATGATTACCATCTATATGGAGGCGTAAGATACATTCTGTCATAAATTGGTGCATGTTGTTAGTGTGTTCTGCATCGTATGTTCCTGGTGACCTCCAGGTGGTGCTTTTTTATTGCTCTGCATTCTGTAGTACCTGTATTCTTAAAGGTCTGTCCTTTGGGATTATCTGTTTCAGCAGTAATTTCTTCAAATTATGATTTGAATAATGTGTCTTTTACACATGAAGAAAGAAACATTCAGAAGTAGTAATAAATCTCACATACAGTTTTCTGTAAAGTAATGGAAAGTTGATAGACACCAAATGTGTTTACAGTAACCCTGAACCATTATTTCTTGGTGTAGTATACCTGGAAGTTTGCTGACAGCAAGTTTAAAAACAGGACATAAAATTAAATATATATTTCTATGTAAATAATAATGTCATTTCTATAGTCCTCTCTCTAGTTATTAGCCATTATCCAGTTTTAAATTCATCGTGTAAGATCTTTTGCTAAGTTGTAAAGTTCCTAATGAAGAAAACCTGCTTAATTTAAATTTTTAGGAGTTGATAACTAGTGATGCTAATTTCTACAGGCTGAAAACTTTCATAATTATTCATTTATGTCTTAAAAATGTTCTGTGTTAGAACTTCAGCTGACCTAGACTCTATACCCTTTCCTTTTACCTATTTTCTCCTAAGCAAGCTGCTGCTTTTGTGGTATCTTCTTTTCTTTATTGACCAAAGCAAGAGCTAAATAACATGAGTGTTGGAGAAAATGTGCATGATACCATTAAAGAAATTGTGGCAGTGCTATTTTTCATGTGGTAAGAGTACTATAATTGGGGGGCTCCTGCAGAGATTACTGCAAGGATTGCGGGCATATGAGCAGCAGAGTTAGTAGGCGTTTGTTTCTTATTTAATGATATGATTGATTCACCAGAAAGAACAAATTAGTCAGCAGACATAACTCCCACTAGTTATTCCATCACCTTTCCGTTAGCTCTTTGGTGCTGATATGAAATTGGCTGGTTTAAATTGTATTTGATGCTAGCCCCTCAAAGGGAAAGCAGGACTATAAAACAAAAACAAGTGAAAAAGAGAGAAAGTTGTGATGGAAGACTGAATGGGATTATATATACTATGCTAGTATACATACTATATTAGTTATTATATACCTATATAGACAGTTTCTAAATGAGCTAATTCCTTAAGGAAGGAAAGAAGTCATCAATGATATCTTTATTAGTGTCGTATTACTTGCCGTCCTATAAACCTGTAGGCTGTTCGCAGGTATGTGCAGCGCTGACTTGGAGTTTAAATATTTTTGATGATAGCTTCTAAAAATCCAATTCTGGCATACAGGCTGGTTTTCTTCTAGGTCACCTGATCAAAATCCTCAAAGGAAGCTGTTTTCTAGCATTTTGTTATTTAAACAATCTATTTAGAATGGGCTGGTTACCCAGATTGTACCATCTTCATCCTCCCTGTTTTTACCCCCTATCTCAGGAATCCAGATGAAAATGGTAGAATTCATCTAACCAAGCATTGCGAATGTGCCATTAGATGTGACTTGTTAGATGTCATTAATGGGGGTGAGATACAGACATCTCACTCTGGACCAGGGGGTAACATTAAGTGGTGATTGTTCTCCTCTGGCAGTAGGTATCTAAACAGGTCGTATTAGTTTTGTCCTAAAATTGCCTATTTTGCCTGTGGACTATGAAGACAGTCTAAGATGAGTTGCTTTATATATAGACATGTGCAGTGCAAGTCTATTTCTGTCTATGATCTGTGCAAGACTTTTATATCATGCAGATGATAACCTATATATAATCGTAGAAGAAATTATGTGTGTATCTGTCCTAACCAACCACTCGGAAGGGGAAATTACTGACGTAAATCTTTGGCTTTACTTTTCTAAGACTTGTTAAATGTAAAATTAGCATTAACACAGTGAATTACCAAGTTTGGCTGTTGGAGTTGGATCTGTTTCCAGCTGTGTCCCACTTCACTTGACAAAGTGAAAAGTGAAATAACTGAGAATTAGGTTTCATGAATGTGGTCAGATATAAGCTCAGACTTGAAGGTTTAGAAACATCCCTTCTTTTTTGGTTCTAATAAACAGGAACTTGGTACAAAGGGTAAAGACTTAGACTTATCTACTCCTACAGTGGGTACTTTTACACTCCTGATTCCTTAATTTTCAAGGTACTCTCACTGGACAGTGTCTGTGTTTGTTTTCTAGATGAGTATTTTCCTGACAGTGATTCCTGTTAGCTGGAACAAAACCTATGGCATGCCTTTCTCCATCTTTAAGACAGCTGCTTGTGTGAATGATGCTATGTCAGACTAGTCCAGTAGCCGTTGTAGCCTCATTGGGTCTAAATAACATCAGTTCAGCTGAGATGATTTTGAAAATACCTTTTTTCCTTTTTTTTTTTTTCAATCAGGTGTCTATTTCTGGAGCTCTGTAGGTGCACTAGGTTACAGTTGCTAGTCTAGCTTTGTCTGAGCCCTCTTTTGATTACCAAGGGGCACAGGAGTCCGTGGAACAGCACTTGCAAACAGCTCGAGTTCCCCTGAGGAAAGGAGGAGCAGAGTGTGATGGGGCTTTGTAACCTCTCTGGATGCAAGGTGTTTAGAGGACTTGGTATATTCAGGTACTGTAGGATAGTTTTCTCTGAAGTGAAGCAGCCTAAGTTGATAGAGGTTTATTTATTTTTTTTTTATTATTTTTTACATTGCTGTGCCATTGGACTTGTTGGGGAAAAAAAGATGTACTGGAGATGAATTTTTTTTTTGCTGTTTAAAACATGCTTTTTCCAGGTGTTTTTTCCTTTTCTATTTGACTTTTTTTTTTTTTTGGTAGGTTGGGTTTTTTTTCACCCTAGTTTTGGTAGTGAACTTTACTCCGGAAAGAGTATTTTTGGGGTTTTTGAAACACAGAATGGAGTTACAGTGATTCCATGTTTGCTGGAGTCATGTCATTTGAAAATAAGGCATAATTGCCTAATTCATTTGGAAACTACAGGACAGATTTTTTTCTTTATTTAAACATTAATAAATAAACTGTATTTGTGGCATTGAAAGGCCTGCACACTGGTGTGATGGAGTTCATATTTCTTGTTTTATATTTTTCTTTTTTTATTTGCCTCTGTGCATTGGTGTGCCTGTATTTTTCTGGCTGCCAAGAAATGACTTATAAGCATGAAGGTAAGAAGTTACTAATTACCTCATCTGATTGCATTTCAAGGAAATTCATCTTGGATCATTTTCACCATCTTAGATTAAATACTTGAAACTTAGATATTTAATTGTAAAGTGAAACTACTTTAGCAACAGGGAAATCAGATTATTTATCTGTAAGTATATCTAATCCAAACCATTAAAAATGAGGGTATATTGAAATTTGCATATAATATGGTCCATGTGTCCCTCTTGATTTATAACATTCTAAACTTTAATGTTTACTGAGCATCATAATTCAGTAGAAGCATTAATACTTGAGTTAGAAGGACCTAATGCATAATTTTACTTTAAAAGTATGTGAAAACATTCCTATAAATCCATGTGAAAAATACTTGCTATCAAATGCATGGCAGTAGTCAGTGGAAATTAGAAATTAAATCAGAATTTTCCAAAAATTTACATGACTGTTTTCTCAGTTATTGAGTTATGATTTACAAGTAACAAGTGTACAAATCAATGGAAAAGAAAATTTAAGTTGTTAAATGACAGTGTTCCTATTTTTAAGAAAAGTTTGAGTGAAAATAGTGTATAGTTACAAAAATCCAGTGAGTATTCTACATGTTTATATATACTTTCCAATAATCATTGTGATTCAGCTCATGTGGAATCTCCCTTGGAGTTGATTTATTTATGCTTTATTATTTATTACAGTGTTTATCAACAAACTGTGTATGAATCAGATGTCTTCTTTTTTTCCTGTTTTTTTTCTCTCTCTACAGCTGTTCCCTTACCAGTTAATTTGTTGTGGTTTTGCTGTGAATCACTTGTAGCCAGTTGCTTCAGATACTAGATGATCAACAGTAAAACTAGCAATTTTGTAATTATGTCACAAAGCAATTCATACATGTACAAGTAATATACAATGGTTAAATATTTTATTTCTATGGAAAGTGTCTGCTCCAGAAATGATAAATGTACAGCTCCTCTAAAGAGGGTGGAGTCACTAAAAATAAATAAGTGCTTCACTCACGGCTCTAAATATTATAGGCAGTCTGTATAGCATTTAACAGGTTTTTACTTTTAACTCTCCATGAAATGTTGGGATTTTTTAGTGTGATGGGAAATACAATTTTCTTGCATAATTCCCTCCCATCTAATAATCAAGGGATTTATTTGCTAAATTATTTTTCCCTATTTTTGTTACTTTTATCAAAATAACAGCATTGCTTTAAGTATCTTCTCAAGCCTATATATGTTTATATGAAATCAAACCCACGGTTGGTTTATGGTTGTATTTTCACTGCTTGAAACAGTGTGCATGGGTGTGTGCATGCAGGGTTAAAGGAAGATAAATACTCAACCTGGGGTATTTACGAAAGTGACTGTATAGTGGAGGTATAGCAAAAAACCCTGTAGGTATGATACTTTATTGTCAGTTTTAACTAAGCAGCTGCTAATCTTCATGTGTTCTGTGTGCCATATATATGTGATAATGACTGGAGTTTTGCTCTCCATCTTTTAGAAGTCCCTTCTACCAGCCTTACTGAAGTCAAGACTTGACTCTTTCTTACTTTGTCATCTTTCAAGCCTATAGTTTATTATGGGGTTTGCTTGAGCTTTGCTCAAGTGTGTTTTCCAAGGCCAAGAACCCTTGAAGCAGGAGGCGTGAGCAGGGTCAGCTGTTCTTCAGTCCTCTGAGTTTGCTTGTCCTTGGCTAGGCTCCTCCAAAGCACTGGCCGCTCGTTTTGAGCACCATCCATAAAGAAGCTGGTACAGGTGGAATAGCAGGATATAAAAGTATTGGCATAAGAGTCTCCATGCAGCTTTGTTTTGGGTTTATTCTCAGATTCTTTGAGTAAAAAGTATCCACACTGCAAAATGAGAATGCGGTTTTCATGGAAGTCTGTTTTTTGTTCACCTGCCATCATCATCTTTACCTCCATTTAATCTACCTTCATCTTTATGAAACTACGTCTGCTCATCAGTTTGGAGTCAGAAAGGAGTTCTTCTTCATGAGTTGAACAGGAAACCCAAATTGTAAATCTGTTTGTCTTCCTTATAACTGGAAGGTACCACCATCTCTTTAGCCCTATTTCAACTCTCAATATTTATTTAGAATGTTACTGTTAGATGACTGTAGGCTGCAACCAGTATTCAGCATAGGAGAAAAGCTGGATGGACCATCTCCCAAAGACTTAGTTTTTGTGCTTATGAGTGGGGAATCTGAAATGTTTTTAATTCAAGTGTGAGAGAATAGTTTTCTGGAAAAATACTTATATTACTAGAGTAGAGTTTAACCCTGTTTCACATGTCCTTTGTTTTTTTTTAAGTAGGAAAGAGTGATGAACAAACTAGTGCAGCGTGTGAATGCTGGAACAAGGATGAAATTATCTCAGGGAAGCATTTCTCTTAAGCAGCTTATCTATAGCTTTACCTGGTCAAAGGATCACCAGCTTCCTAAATAACTGAGAGAAGGATAATAGTGGTCTAGTAGCTTGCAAAAGGAAGGTTGTTTCTAAAGGTTGTTCAGAAGCCCTTTCCTTGCTGTGCTGCATGGTATTTATCTGTAAGCATATGGAGAAGCACAGTCTATTTTTTTTTTTTTTTTTTGAGGGCATAACATCCTTTCAGAAGGAGATTTTAGTAGAACCAGTTTATTTAAAAATGCAGTCTGAATGAAATTTTAAAATTATTATTTGAAGGGCTCATCTTATGTGAAGCCATTAAGTGGTTCAGAACAGGGCCTTGAAGCTGTCTTCAGTAGTTTGAGTGGGATTAGCTGTACCAGGAAACAGTTATGGAGGTGTTTAGTTTACGAGCAATGAGACTGTGACCTGCTGGACTGTGGTAACCAGGGCTGCAGGCTGTACATGATGATGTGCGTGTGCCAAGTAGGTACAAGTCACACCTACTAGCTTGATTTGATGGTACCACTGAATTCAAGACAGAGTATTTCGACTGTTGATGAGGCCTCTGCTGAGACAAAAGAATATATTAAGCATTATGGGGCTTTGTGAGGAAGTTTAGACTGTACTTCTGTAGACGTCCTGGAAGAACGTATAAAGTTAGATAAGTCTAGAAGACCGTGGTGAAAGGTGAATATTTGGAATTAATCATGAGATAGGGTGTTATAGATAAAATAAAACCTTTTGGTATTTTGAACGAAATTCATGGCTCACTCAGCCAGTTTGGCTTCACTGAGATGTAAGATATCTGATGTTCTGACTTACTAACAACTAACAATTTTTTTTCATTCTTTAGGCCTTTTTTTAATGAAGAACGCTATTATGTCTCATGTACAACCTGTGGTTTATAGTGTTGTTTGTTTGTTTAAAAAAAAAAGACAAACTGTGACATTAGTCTGTGATTCAGCATTAAGCAGTGCCAAAAAATACAGAGACAGACAGATTTTTCTTCATCTTCTTAGAGCACCCTCTCTCCAGTAGCCTCCCTCTCCAGGATGCTTCATAACCTGACTCCATTTTTCCATTACCACCTTTTTTTTTAAAAAAAAGAATTATCTATTGCTCCTCTGAACTTGTGTTGGGTTATTGGAACACTTTATCATGTAAAAATGTTAGGCTTTCTATTGATTAATAACAGTTTTGTTATTGTTACTTTGGAAGGAAAAATACTTGAACAACTGTTTTTCTAGTTAAATGTTCAAGCATCTTTTTTTTTTTTAACAGCAGAATTTTCTATAGAAATTTACTGCTTTCTGAGCATATGTTGGGAAACTAGTGGAAAGGGGGCTCTTAAAATGGTGAAAGAATTATTGCAGTTGTGGTGTTTTATATAAAACATCACATTTTTCATAATGAATATTGTACTATTCACTTCCATTGGATATTCACTTTCTCTAGTTTTCTGGAAGCATGCATTTAATTTATTACATTGTGTAAATTTTTTTAAGTCTGCATTGAAGTGCTGGTTTTCCCTAAGCATAGTTTTTTTGGTTGGACAAAACATTGGAGTAAACTTTTTAAAAAATTGAGAATGATAGTGTTGGAAAAACAAATGGAAAGTTGCAAAATAGATTTTATAAATTAACCTCTTTTTATTCTTTTTTACTTTTTTGAATTAGTATGAATGACAACATTTATTCTGTGCTGTTCTTCGAAATATTTTTCCCCTTTTGGTTCCACATCTTATATATTACATCACATTGGGTTACTTCCTTCTTCATAGATATTGCATTCCTGTATTGTGAATCTTGTAAGATCTATGTGATTTTGGTAATTAGCTTTTATAGTTTGCTAAAGGATTATTCTATTGTCAATTACCCAGTCCTACATGCAGTTCAGTTCTTGGAGGTTCTTATACAAATGATGTTGAAAAGGTAGCTAATTTAACCAGAGAATAAGGGTTTACAAAGGAATCTTTTTTCTTTCTACATACTAAAATAATGATCAGAGAAGACCTTGGCTACTGTTTACTGGGTTGTTGGGGTTTTCCAACTGTTTTGCTAGTAACTAAGAAAAACTGACTTTTCAGAGGCATGTTGTGGAGACATTTTTTGGATTTGATGAAGAGTCTGTTGATTCAGAAACATCATCTGTAACTTCATATAACACAGATAAAACAGACAGGACACCAGCAACACCAGAGGAAGATTTGGAAGATGTAAGTAGTGGATAATTTCTTCTTAAGTTCTATGAATATTCACATGGAGTATAAATGCAAAAAATTTTTTTCATCTCTTCTGCCACAGGAACTATGAAAGATTTGGCAGAGAATTGCTTTGTTTTGTTTCAAATGCAGTAATGCATCCACACTCATTGCAATAGAATTAATAAGATAATATTCTGCCTGACAGATTTGGCAGATACTGGGCTGAGAAATAAAATTGTTTTTCTCAGGCCCTTTCTTATTAGTCAAAAGAAAATGAATAGGCACATTGCTACGCCAAAAGTCAATAGTTACTAGACAATAGTTTGCCTTTCAACCTTGTAATTTATTTGACTGTTTTGATACAACCAAGGATTTCATTCCTGTACTTAAAATACTGAGAGAGGCTTTTGCAATTCATTAGGGCTTAAATGATCATAGGTAGTAAATACCCACTGACACGTTTTTGTCTCAGCTGTGTGATGTACAGTGCAGCTGGCCTACTTTAAAAGATTGCAGGGCTGAGGACAAAGCATGAATTAGATGCTGGTTTTCATCTTTCTTTCCTGTTCACTAACTTGTGCCTAATACTCTTCAGTCACAAGAAGCTTCCTAGTTTTCTATGTTTAATACCTAATAATACTGTAATCTCTTTTCCTTGGAGCTCAAGTTCCTGGGGCAAAAAGTAATTAAAGGGGAGGACATTTCTTGCCCTCAGCTTTTTAAGAAAGACCTTGAAATTGTTGATGTCAGTTGCTCAAAGTTCAAAGAAAATTAAGACATTAAAAATACTTCATGTTAAAAAAACCCCAAAATTATAGAAGCATCTTATGGATTTTGAAATACAATTTCTGTATTGGTGTGCTTGTGATGGTAAAATTCTTTACCTTGGCACAGTAGAGACAGAGTCAGGGAATGACAGAAGGATAGAACGAGTCCCTTCTGAAGCCCCGTGACAGTGGAGTTGCTGAAGACAGTGGTGCATGGAACTGTTGCCCCTCATCTTTCCCCAGTCAGCTTATTCCCATTTCTATACATTACTGCCTCATATAGTAACTTACGATGTCCTGAAATTGCACAATTAAAACAGTTACCAATCTTTGTGTCATCCTCAAGTCATCCTTCCATTTCTACTTGTTTTAGTTTTTAAACCTTTATTAAACTTTGAGACTCAGTATGAGTTGTATTGCTTATTGTGTTTGTGAGTCTATCTGTGTATATAAACAAACCCATTACCATATATATTTATATAAAACCACTTTTTTTTCCCTCTTAATGAAGAGCACACCTAGAGAAGAAGCTGAACTAAGGTTCTGCCAGCTAACAAGAGAGTATCAAGCTTTGCAAAGAGCGTATGCATTGCTTCAAGAACAAGTTGGTGGAACCCTGGATGCAGAGCGAGAAGCTAGGGTAATTTTTTAACTGAAATTTCCTTTAACTTTGAAATCATTGAAAAAGCTGAAAAAACTTGGAATAGCAGGAGATATCTTCCCAGGTCAGTGGCATGCAAAGCACAAAGTTTTTGAAGATTTGAGGATATTAGCAGTAAGGTGACAGTTTAGATTCATCTAGGGCTGATCTAGAACAAAGCTATAATTATATTTTATTCTAGTGTGCATAATACATTAAACATTTTTGGTAGTAAGACTGTTACTGAGAATCATATCCCAACTGAACCTGCAATTTGGATAGCAACGTGATGAATTTAAAATGGATCGGAGAATAGGTTGCTATAAGTACTTAGGTACTTCTATCGTATCAATATATTAAAAATCTGACCCAAATCTGAAAAATGAAATTTTTCTTCAAGTGGTTTGTTGAATATATGAAATCATAACTTGTTTTTAAAAAACTCAGTTTAGGAGTATTCTTCCACTAAAAGGTACATAGCTAACTGTTGTTCCTATTCCGTCAGCAAGTATGATTGTTTACTCACTCTGAAATAAATGTTTTTTTTATCCTCACAGCAATCTCTGTACTATAGGTATTATTTGAGGTGTGAGAGAGTACATACTCTGTTTTCATCTACCCTTCTGCCACCACTGTGTTTAACCATGTAGGTAGAGATGAGGTCAGCAGAAGACTAACATCTTCCTTCCATTCTTTTTTTTTCCAAACTGGGGAGGAGAGAAGTCACTTCATAATGAATCGGTGAGCTCTGACTCATTCCCCAGATGTATTCACTGAACAGCAGTGGCATCAAAAAAAGAGCTGAGTTAACTAGAAGTAAAATTTCTTCTGCTTCCTCCCAACTCCTCGCAGAGAGGGGCATATCTAGAAACATAGCATATTTACAAGTCACCCTCTACTTGAATTATTGTCATCAATGACCAAAGAAGATGTAATATCGAAATGGGCAAGCAATAGCCATAGGGCTGGAAACTTCATCATCCTCAGCTCATGTCCCTCATACTGCCTCAAGTACAGGTTGAACCTGTAGAGTACTGACTACTGAGAGAGTTGACCGATGTCATTGCAAGGCCACTCTCAATGATCTTTAAAGGGTCGTGGCAGGAGGTTCCTGAGGACTGTAAGAAAGCAAATGTCACTCTTGTCTTCAAGAAAGGCAAGAAGGACGATCTGGGGAAGTGAAGGTTGGTTGTTACTGCCTTGATCCCTAGGAAAGGGATGGAGCAAATAATCATGGAAACTTTCCAAATATCTGAAGGGCAGGGTGCGTGGGAGTGATCAGCATGGATTTCAGAAGGGGAAATCATGCTTAACCAGCTTGAGAGCTTTCTATGATGAGATGACTAGCTCAGCAGAGGAGTTGAAAGCAGTGGATGTTGTTTATCTTGACTTTAAGAAGTCTTTTGACACTCTCCCTCATAAGATTCTCATAGATAAACCTATGAAGTACAGACTAGACAAGTGGACAGTGAAGTGGACTGAAAATTGGCTGAAATAGATAAAAGCGTTGTGATCAGTGGCAGAAAGTTCAGCTGGAGGTGTGTCACTAGTGATGTTATGGAGTTATCTACAGCTAAAAATGTTAGCCTATTATCTCCAGAGACAGCATTCAGAAGATTCAGGGTTACTTTAAAATGTGTCATGGTTTGGTTTAGTTTTTGTTTTCAAGGCTTTTTGAAGTGGCTCTCAACCACTGTGAAATACAGTTCTTATAATATTAGAATTATTGCTTTATGGCTTTATTTGTTAGAGCTCTCAGCATCTTACAAAAACCTGGTCACATTTAACACTCTCCTTTTAAGTAGGACACTTATCCAAGGAAAGCAATAAGGACTTTAGTGATCACTTCTCAAACTACAATTGGGGTGGGGGGCATAATTACATCTACTATTAAAGTAAGATTTCAAAGGCAATCATCTATTTGACAGTTACGAGAGACAATTAAATATTTCCTTTGCCTTCATGGGAAGAGAGACCTCGGTATGAATATTTTTGTAATAGCTATTTAAAATTTTATTTTGGAGGCAATTGTAAACTGTCCCTTTAGTACACTTTGGAATTGTTGCTCTTTCTTTGTAACCACATTTTGGTCTCTTGTGTCACATCCATGCAAATCCATCTTTTGCATGAGTCAGACGGTAGTTTTTTTTGCATGGTTAGTTTTGTAGGGCCCAATGTTCTGGTGGGATGAGCATTGCCTGTTACTTTTGGATGAGGCTTAAGGTAAACAAGGATGCAAAGATGCAGAAGGAAACCCCTGTGGGAATTTTTGAACTGCTTGGGTGTAAGAGTACCTGAAGCAGGGTGGGAAAAGTACTTGCAGATGCTTAAGGAGCATTTGAGTGAAGGTCTGCAGAGAAATCCTTTGGTTTAGATCCTTTTTGTTTAATACTGTGTATGATTCAATCCCTTTCAGGGCATCACTGGACTCATGGGTAATACTACTGTAGCATAATAGTGTAATAGTCATGAAGAATGAGAAAACAAACTAGTGCATGCCATTTATGGGATAAACAAATTATTTGGGGTCAATATAATTTATTTATCTATAGGCCTTTTCAGTGCTTATTGCAATTCTCTTTCTCTCTTGTGCTATTATTCCCAATTGCCTTGAGTTACTGAAGCTTATGAATAGCTTCTCGGAGCTCTTTCAGTTCCTTCTTTTTTTCTTTTTTTTTTTTTTTTTTTTTTTTTTTCCTCTGGGAAGAGCTTTGCCACTGAATATGTGGTGATAACATCTTTTTAGGCTAGGAGGGAAAAATACTGTTAAACTGATGGCTTTAAATATTTTGTAACATAAATACAAAAACCAATTGTTTTCATCAAAAGCATTAAAAGCTGGCTGGACAACCCATAAGTGGGTAGAAAGTATCTTTACTTTGATTCTATGTGTAATTAAATCTACCTGTCTACCTGGATGTGCATGCATATACACATGCTTTTTAATACTTTTTTTTCCTGCAGACTCGGGAACAACTGCAAGCTGATCTTCTCAGGTGTCAGGCAAAAATTGAGGACCTGGAGAAAGCTCTAATCGAGAAGGGACAGGTAAAAGGCTTTCTTAATGTCTTCTACCACGTCATTTTCTCCCTTGCATGCAGTGGTGCCCTTGCCATCTTCATTGCTTGCTGGTGTGTTAGTGTGACTGATGCAGCTTAATTGCTACTCCATCAATAGATTACTGAAATAAAGGAAAGTATTATATAGGCTCAGAAAATGCCATTAAAGACTCATTTTCTAACACATAGTTCATTAAAGCATAATATCAAAACTTTTTTTTTTTTTTTTTTTTTTTTTTTTTTTCCTCTGGGAAGAGCTTTGCCACTGAATATGTGGTGATAACATCTTTTTAGGCTAGGAGGGAAAAATACTGTTAAGCTGATGGTTTTAAATATTTTGTAACATAAATATTAAAAGCTGGCTGGACAACCCATAAGTGGGTAGAAAGTATCTTTACTTTGATTCTATGTGTAATTAAATCTACCTCTCTACCTGGATGTACATGTATATACACACGCTTTTTAATACTTTTTTTTTCCTGCAGACTCGTACTTTGATTCTATGTGTAATTAAATCTACCTGTCTACCTGGATGTGCATGCATATACACATGCTTTTTAATACTTTTTTTTCCTGCAGACTCGGGAACAACTGCAAGCTGATCTTCTCAGGTGTCAGGCAAAAATTGAGGACCTGGAGAAAGCTCTAATCGAGAAGGGACAGGTAAAAGGCTTTCTTAATGTCTTCTACCACGTCATTTTCTCCCTTGCATGCAGTGGTGCCCTTGCCATCTTCATTGCTTGCTGGTGTGTTAGTGTGACTGATGCAGCTTAATTGCTACTCCATCAATAGATTACTGAAATAAAGGAAAGTATTATATAGGCTCAGAAAATGCCATTAAAGACTCATTTTCTAACACATAGTTCATTAAAGCATAATATCAAAATAGCCATGTGTACATGCATTGTAAATTCTGTTCCCATTGTAACTTGGTGCAGGCTTTTCTCCTGTTTTCCATTTTGTATATATTTGCTCTAAATTCCAATAAACCAAATATTCTATATTTGTACTGGAGAGCATTTTTTGGTGTGTAGCATAGAAAATTTTAAAAAAACAAATCACTTCCACACATGTTTCAGCTAGAGATATGGACCACTGAATGTGTCTGGTAACTGGAAGCCACTTGCGGTGTTACTTTCCTGTGCTTAAACTCTCGGAGGACCTAACTGCTTTCAAATTCCCATACCATCAGACAGAGTAAAATTAGGCCTTATGCTTTGGTATATCTTGTAAATACTTGACGAAGATGTGGGTACTGATGCATATTTAATAATGTCTAGGATCTTGAGGAAAAAGCTGATTAAGAGTTACGAGTGCATGTAAAAGATGTTCAGTTGCTTAACTGCTAGAAAGCACTGAGAAAACTGGGGAGATGTTATTTTATGCTACATTGTTTGAAATAGCAATTTTAAATTCCATGTAAATAAAAATAAAATTAGGGAATATGTTACCAATCTAAAAATGATGGCTCACTGAGGTTTTAGAAGAATAAATGGAACTGAAGACCTATCAAGGATCTACTGCTGACGTTTTAGCGTGTGATGATAAAGGTGGTGTGGGCAAATTGCTGTGTAATTGAAAACATTAACAAAATAGTTGACTAATTACAGTGTAAAATGCAAGTACTGTGAATGTAAATAAGATAAGTGAATATGGATACACATGTAAGAAATTACTTCTGTGATTTTGATTCCAGAGTGTCAAAAAGGTATGCCTGGAAATTAGAATTTAATTAGTTATTACTTTATGAAATTCATAACCACATTTTCAACCTTGTATCTCTTAGTCATCCTGAGAAAGCCAACAGGGATGTGACAAGGTGCAATATGAAATTGTCTCTAGTGGGCTAGTTTGTTTATACCTGCAATTAGCTTTCCACAGAAGCGGTCACAGTGTCTTCCTGGGAGCTCTAGCTCAGTTCTCCAGACCTGTTAGTATTTACATTCAACAAAATAAACGATTATGATGACAAACTGACTTCTTTGTGCACTATGTGATTATTTTTTTGGTAATTATTACTTTGTAATTTAGCTGGTCACGGTAGTGATGATGATTTAAAATAATAATTGTGAAATGTACATTCAGACAACCAGTCCCTAAAGTGCGTTTGAAAAGGAAACAATAAATTGGTAGAATATGTAAATATAGTGGACAATAGATAGAAAAAATAACTTTAAACCTTTTTAAAACTATAAATATTATATCATAATGTTTTAGATATTTTTGGTTGGCATTTCAAGGCTATTTCATTAACTCCTTGTGCGGCATCAGTGTGCAAATACCTTGATGACAAAGAAAGTATCAACCTTAATACTTCAGTAAAGACATTTACATTTTAATTAAGTTGTCCTTTGTAGCTAGAAAATAATTTGATCTGTAGTATGACATATGATATTGTTTTATTAAATGTATTAGAGCAATATGAGCTCTGTTGCGTTAGTACTTTACAGAGAGAACAGAGAGAATTTGGCTGTTACAATCCATTAAATACAAATGTTCAGCTCTGGCTGGCAGTGAGTTTTTGTAACTTGGGTATTTAAAGGGATATTTGATGAGGCCTTTCGGAGCCATGGGAAAACCTAAAAGCAGAGATTGGCTTTGGAACAAGCAATCAAATGAAAATATGGTTTTCAAACGGAGTATGGAATACCTTGTAGCGCTTCCCTTCCTCCATAGCATTTGCGTACCTGAAGCACTGTGTTAGCCTGATTCTCACACTTCTAGCAGAGGGCAATTAACTGCCTACCACTGAAGCTTTTTATCAGTCATTTGGGGTAATTAAGTGTGGGGGTTTTTTTCCCTTTCTCCATTGGAATTTGTATTACACCACACAAAATAGAATGATTTTGAAAAAGTTCCCAACTCTTTGCAATGGAAAGAAACAGTTTTGAGTTAAGCTGAGTAAATAAATGTTTTTAAAATGACATACGCTATCGCATAACCAGGTTCACCCACAATTGCTATATGTAAATATTTTAAAGTATATGCTTAGCTGGAACACATTAAGAAACAAGACCCTCAGCTTCAAGAAAAGAAATTTTAGTTTCTCTATAGCTTAAAATGCTATTTATACTTGAAATATTTATGAAAGCTTTATTTTTTTGATGTGTGAACGTTTTTATACTTGAATGTACAATGATGTCTGAAATCTTCTAATTATTGTGGTTATTCATTTGTCTTCTTTAGCAAAACACATATAATTTTAATATTTTAATCCTCTTCTTCCTCATAGGATTCAAAATGGGTAGAAGAAAAGCAGCTGCTAATCAGAACAAATCAGGAATTGCTAGAGAAGGTATGTGTTCAGCATCTGGGAATATTTTCACAATTTCTGCCCTTTGTCAGAAAAGGAATGGTAAAAGGAAATGAATGTACTAAGTACTGGAACATCAACATGAAAATTGCTTATTTTATTCCTCTCTGGAAACAGGAGTTTGGATAAAAGTCTCTGATTAAAGTCCTAATATGCTTTTGTACTCTTTGGGAATGGAAGCTGCTCTTTATTGTGGAATTACGTGTTGTAAAAGCAACAGTAAAACCCGAGCTGGCTGATGTTCCTAGCGCCCAACAAAATACAGTCTAAAATACTAAGTGTAATGTGGAATCTCATATTATGTCATATATTAACACAATGATTATTATTGTCATGATCACTAATAAAATTGCCTGCTGCCTTCAGCCTTACCTTTTTAACCATTTTCCCACACATTAAGTAATACTGATTGATTCAAGATGTATCGTTCGCTGTCTGAGAGCTGAGCATTCTCATTGTTTTCCACTGGTATTGGTGGGTTAGTTAGCTAGCACTCAGGAAGTCAAAGAATTTTTTTTGTTAATTGGTAGCCCAATATAAATATTATAGGAATATGATAACCAAAGAAAAATTCATGACTAAGAGTATCTACAGCCAGACTCAATTTATTCAGACACTTACATGGGTATTATAAGCATCATAGTACATTATGTCAGGTATTACGTTTCTATTTAGTTTCATACAAATAAAAAGATCCCCCAGTCAAGTTAGACAGTAGCCCCAAACCTATTAGTTGGCATAATGAATAGTCAGGTTTGAATTTCTATTTCTATTATATTTCATTGTTAGCGTTCCAGAGCACAAATTGGGAAAATTAAAAAGTAGGCATTAAAACCTGTCCATCATTGTCTTTTGTACACCGTAGAGAGTAGATGACTAGTTATGCAAATGAGAGAGAACAGTCTACCTAATTGTTAATTTAGTCCAGTTTCATTCACTCGATTTTGAAAGCTTGTATTGCTCAACTTATTTAGATATGATATTCATATCACTGGTTATACTACTTCCAGTTTACTATTCTAAGAGATCATTAACCATATTTCTGCTGGCAGTTGTCACAAATACTTTCTGTAATGGTGTTCCCTCTTTATGTCCAAGACCTGTCCCGACATTTAATGAGAAGCTGAAATAATTAACAGTTCGTCTAAACCCCTGGCCCATAACTCAGTACGGTATCTCTCATTGCTCATGGGGTGTTGTCGTGTTGTGTTTGTCTCATAGATTTATAGAATGGAACAAGAAGAGCATCAGCTGAAGAACGAGATGCAAGATGCAAAAGACCAGAATGAGCTGTTAGAGTTCAGAGTGCTAGAGCTTGAAGTAAGAGATTCTCTCTGTTGCAAACTCTCAAATGGAGCAGAAATTATGTTTGAACCCAAGCTGAAATTCCTGTAAAGATTACTGATGTCTGGTGCATGTTTAAGGGAAATCACTTAGGTATCTATTTTTTAAATGTTGTATCTTGGGATAATGAAATTGATGCCACTGCCTTAATGTGTTTTGGAGAGAGTGCTCACTAATGTTTATAAAGATGTAATATAGCTAATATATATTGCATATAGTTTGTTTTTCATCTAATAAAATATTTTGTTTTGCAATATTTTGCCTTTTTTATTTGTTTCATTTCCATAACTTCTCCTTTCGTGCATGTAAAATCACTTGGTATGTATACTACAGCCTTGGTTGGCATTGTTTAAATTAACACACCTTCTCACATCTTGCATGCAGTGATCTGACTAAAGATCTGACACATCCATCACATCAACGTATAATTGCTTTTAATTACATTGATTTAAGATTGACAACATTCATATGAAGTGATCTTAGAAGAACACATTTTGGTAGCAGCTTTGAAAGAATTTCTCTTACCTGAAATCCATTTTCTGATGGTATAAAATGGTTATAGACTGGAAATAATTGGCATCAGTCATTGGGAAAAAAAAAAAAAAAAAAAGGAAAAAAAAACAACCAACCCCTCTGAGAATGTAAAGGTTAATCTGGTGACACACAAGTACAACTTCTGTACATGAAAGTAGTATGTTGCTGATTGATAGCGAACAAATCTTATCCTTTGCATGAATAACAGTGAAGATTTGTGAATAACAATTTGAAAATGTAGCCTGTGATTAAAGTAAAAGCAATAGTTCTCATCACCTTGTAAATGGCTCCCATGTCGAGTTTAGTAACACTAAACTACTCGTGTGTGATGCACAATTGTCACACAGGTGTATTGCCTGATAACACATTGTTCAGTTTCAAAAATCATCAACATCCTTAACACCATTGAGAATAAACTCTCATTTAGAATAAAAAGAAACCTGTCATTGTCACTCCTTCATAATTTTCATCACCCAGCACGTTTCACAAAAAAACTTGGCATGTGTAACTTCTCTGATAAAGATGAAAATGTCATGTCTTCTTGTCATGTGGACATTCTGCTTTTTTGTCTTTGACATTTCTTAATCTTTTTTTAATCCTTTCCTTATCAACCATATATACTGATGTCATAGCCCATTATACTCAAAATTATGAATTTAGGTTATTAGAAATTCAGTAGGTATTCAGGAAAAAAAAAAGCTTTCTAATTCTAATATATATCTTTATATGTTATTAAGCAACTGTAAAGTAAAATACTGAACAGTTTAGCATTTGAATTGTCAGTTACAGTAGGAACTGCTTCCTAAATCATAAGTGTTCTTAGAAATAGAACAATCACAAAAAATTTCTTGGGAAAAGCAAAAAAGTGCTTATCCATACATCCTTCATGAATGTCTTTTTCACATGGAAGAATCACATGAGAAATAGCTCTGTGTGATGTGTCAAATTTTGTCATGTGCCAAATCTTTAAAGACTTGTTTCACAGAATAACAATGGAGGTACTTTTGTGTGATTGCAAGAAAAGATTTTTTTATTTTTTTTTTTAGTAGGCAAGCACATAGACACAAATGTGGCTTACAGTGTGAATATTTTAGTAAAATCATGAGTGCTGCTGGTAATTGGGACAGTATTTTTTTGAGAGCCATTAAATTGTTTTAGATGAAAATTAGGCTAGAGTAGAAAACACAACCATTTGTCTACCAGTTAATAAAATCAAATTCAGGTGAGGTTAATGCTGCAAAAAAATTCTTTAAAAAATCTAAAATGGTAACTGAATTTGGACAAGAATTAAGCTTCTGGTTTTGGATTGCAACAGCTCAATCATTTAAGCCCATTTCAAAATCAGACTGTTAAGGCAAAAATTATTTAAAGTAGAGCTTATGAGGGGTAAAGATGTATAGAGTACAGAGGTTTTTCTCTCTTCGTTGTAGTTTCAAATTAGGTTCAAGCTAGTTAATGAACAAGAGTGCCTTGCTTTGTAACTTGCTTAAGTGAATGGATGCAGCCTGCCATATCAGTTAAAGCACCTCATTTTGTGATTTAAGAAATGGGCAATGCATGGATGGTCACAGGAATGAAAATATTTGCAGTAGCTCTTTCATTATACTGTCAAAAACTGAAACTCTTGTTGCCACTGCCGCCTCATGGAATATGGAGAGGGTATCTGATTTTCCTCACCCATGTTCCCATGGCAATAGAGAATTCAGAGTAAGACACGGTACCTTGGTTGCCCAGAGCCTCCTCCAATCCAGTCACTTTCATAAGCATGTTAAAATTTAAGTGAAATCACTTTTTATTATTTTACTGTATTTCTTCTGAAGAAACAATAGGTTTGTATTTTGAAGAAATGCATGAAAGTTAAGTAGATAGGCTGGATAAGTTTTAGAAATACTGTCTTTTTAAATAAATGGGAATTTGTAATTTCTAGTTTGGGCACAAAGAACATCATAAGTGCAGAGTAGTGCTGCCTGTCAACATATTCCAACATCCTGGCTCATGCAGTGAATAGGACTGGGGGGGATTTTACATGCTCTAGTAGAAAAGTTAATTGTAGAATAAACAGGGAGCAGATACACAGCTTTAATTTTACGGAGAAAATTCTTCAGTGATAATACTATTTCTTGATGAAGTGTAAATTTTTTTCTGCAGTTTCTTCTTCCTAAATTGTCCTTTGTTCCATGAAAGAAAGCAATAGTTAAACAAGGTTATAACCAACATAAAAAGCTTGTAGTGTTTTTTAGTGTTCCAGTCAGTCATTTGGCAACGTGCAAGGGTTCCTGTGTCTGAGGAGGGCCAGTTAACTTTGCAGAAACTGTGTCTGCATGGGATCAGTTAGAAGCTAATGCCATTTTTGTGCTTAGCTGAAGTCAAAATCCTTCAGATATGGGAAAATAGGAGGTAATACCATATATTTGGAATGTGAATAGGAATCTGCCTTTTTAATGTACAATATGTTTTGTAAAGCTGGGAAATAGATATTTACATATAATCACAAGTGTTGTTTTTAAACAAAATCTTTCCTCAGGAGAGAGAACGAAGGTCGCCGGCATTTAATCTTCATATAACCACCTTCCCTGAAAACAATGGAAGTGCACTTCAACTGTTCTGTCAACAGGAAGGAATAAAGGTATATGTAAAACATTAGTAACAGTTGGATGGCCAGGGACTTTTTTGGAATGCTCAATATCCAAACAAATGGTTTGCCATCTTGCTGAAGGGAAGAAAACCTGGAAAAAATAAGTATAGTAAGAAAAGATACTTTTAACCTGGGGAAAGGGTTTCATAAGAATATGATCTGGTAATCTGTCAGAAGTTCATCAATGAAAATGGAGGCTGGTCAATCAAAATAGTTTACATTTTGTCTGTGGCATTGCTATAAAAACATTACATGGAAGAATATGGATGTTGATATGATTCATTGTCAGTCTTGCTACAGTACTTTGTTCTTGACATTAAATGCTTTCATCTAAGGTCAGAAATACGACATTCACCTATTTATTTTACACCCAATTTAGCGAAGCACCTCTGCATTTTGTTTGTTGAATTAATATGCTTAAGTTATTTGCCTAGGGCAGGGCCTGGCAGCATGAGGCACCTGATCCAAAACTCATTCAAACAGGTGAGATTCTATCATTTTAGATAAAACACCAGATAAACATTGGGATGTCACTTAGTAAGGTTCTGCTATGAGGAAGCAAGAATTACCCTTTTCACTTCTGTTCTCCCTTGAATAGGCTGTCTGTACAAACGGCTTTGCGTGCTGGTTTGCTTCAGACTGAATTCAGACTCTCCTTGTAATTAACGTTGCACAACAGGCTGGGGTGACTTTTCTACCAGTAACTGAAGTGGAATATATCTGTGTGTCACACTCCATGGCACTCATTAGTAATTATGCTTGTATTTGTGATTGTGTTTAAAAGTCCTGTTATCAAAGGCTTGTTTCTATTCAGTGCCTTAATAAACACAATACTAAACTGAAATTGTAGGCTGCATATTGTTAAGAAGCTGAGCAGTCAAAAAGAAAAAAATTTAAAAGCTGATTGTTACCTACATGTTTGATTGCGTAGTCATTTCCCAAACCACATGAGGAGTCATCAGTTAGCATATCATCTTTCAAACAGAGCCTCCATGGGATGCCAGTCCCGCTTTGTAACTTACCTGTTACTCTAATTTGCACGTTGCCTGTAGCAGGTACAGCTTACCAGGATCTAGAATTAGTATTTTTTTCCATTGTCTTCTGTTATATTCCTGAACACAGGGGTGGTTTTTTTTCTCTCTGTCTTTCAGTTCACTTACCTGGAAGCAGGGGCAGCCACCCAATGTGGGCATACTGAAATTGTTGAATTTTTATCTTTTCAGTGTCTTTCGAAATTGTTAGCCATCAGTAGCAAAGTAGACTCTAGAATGATGCAAAATCTGATTTGGTTTCTAAATCTTCCTACATGCTTTGTCATGGAAACGAATTAGAATGAGTGTTTCTGGCACAATAGGTGCAAGAACTTGTATGTCTTATGGAATGTCATTCTTCACTAGTGTGAAGATCAGCTAGAGAAGTTTCCATTCAACATTGTCAATGCTGATTATAATCAATAGTTTTAACAATAATCCAAACACAAGTGTGTGTCCATGCTATTCTAAAATTTTTGGTGTGCGCTGCTTAATAGCTGATGTAACATTTGGAAACATTGCTGAAGCGTTTGAGGAGTGAGGTAAGAGAGGGAGGGGACTTCTCAGGATAGACCAACTTGAATGCAACACATTGTGCCTTTTTTGGAGGCAGGATGGGATAATTTATAGATTCCTTCCGCGTCTGTGTCTGGTCATCAGAAATCTTTCGTTTCTGATTAAGGCTTCCACACTGAAGAATATATCTGTTAGGTATGGAACCATGGGAAAATATATTCTGGTGTGGTTATGTAATTTGCATAAAAATTTTTAAAGATTGATCATTCTGACTACCCACATAGTGCAGTTGCACAACACATTGATGCAAACTGACACGTTAGGTACTGTAAGTAATGAAACTAGTGACCCAGCTCTGTGAAATGTTGGCCACCTCTGAGAAATGCTGAATATGTGTAGAAGTTGAGGGTGCCAGCATTTAACAAGGCTGTCAGGCTTTATGCGTGTCTATTAAGCATTATGAATGGGTCTTTGCCTGTGCTCTCAAGCCTTACTACTGTCAAATAGCATGACTGCATAGAAGCTGTCGATGGAAATGATCCCTGGTCCACATTAACTTGTGGGCCCATACTTGGGATAGTTCAGGAGAATGTGATTAGCACAAGTTATCAGTTCCATGAACATTTCCAAAAACTTTTAAAGTGGAAAATGAAGTTCTGGGGCATAAGAATGGTCCCTGGCACTGTCTAAAATACAGACAGTGTGTGAATTTATTCCTCTTCTTTTTTTCTTTGTAGCAGGGGAGTGTTTTTCTTGATTTCAGTGACTGGACCTTAATAAGGATGGGTTGTTTGCTGCTTTTTGTGGATCTGGGGACTGTCTGGCAGAGAAATGGGGCTTTCTACTCACAAAGGTTGTGAGCTGATAGTGTTTGGAGGAGCATGTTCAGCCCACCGTGCATATTCCCTTCTTCTACTGTAAGGCTGATCTGAAACTCCGTTCTTTTGTTTAACAAAGAAAATAAAAACCAAGCCACACAAAAACCCTTCTTTGCAATGACTTTGTTTGTACTCTCTGTCGTTTTAACTTCTGTAGGTTGATGCTCCACTCCAAACAAACAGGATAAAAAAAAGTCAGTCCTTTAAGCCTGTGTATCAGTTTTGATCTTTTGTCTGTGTACATCAGCAGGATGGTAAATGTGCATCATACAGGAACATTCTGCTCTCATACACATCCAGGTTGCTTGCTGTAATCAAGAGTGATATTTGGTTTTGTCTCTGAAAGTATCAGTAGCATTGATATCAATAACACTTTTGTAATTGTGATGCAAAACTAATCTTTCACTTATTTACAAGTCTTTTTGCATGCGGAAGTGAATAAAGAGTACATAAAATGTAGCCTATAAAAACTGTTTCTCATCTACTGTGTAAAAAATAAGTGTTGAACATCTTTTTCAGGACGTGAATATATCTGAACTTATGAAGAAGCTAGATATTCTTGGAGATAATGGGGTAATAATTTTTAATTTCACATATACTTCCAGCTTTATGGTTATTTTAAAGCATTGCTTTCCCCACAGTAGTAAATGACATTCAAGAAAATGCAGAAAGTGATTTTTATATGCCTATGTATGAACAATATGAATGGTTGGATACTACTTTTACAAACTTAAAGAAAATCTTTCAGTTAAGCTGATGCTCGTGAAAAGTGTATTTTTTTCAAGACAGGATTTGATCTTGGCTGAATGACATGGGAATAAGGTACTGTAGTAGACAGAGGCAAAAGATATAAAACAAGATAGGGGAAGAAAATATGTAATTCAAAGCCAGACCAAGTTATTCCTGAAGTTTTTTCTCTTGAGTAGTAATAGTAGCACCTGCTACTGTGAAGGATGGCTCTGCCAAGACTGGTTTTGCTGGGAGAAAGGGCAAGGGTAACTGGTTCCCTTTTTTCCCCCTGTATTGCCAAATACCATATAAAATCTTGGTCATACGATTTGGGCACAAACATTCATGGAGCTGGGTCCACTTTAAAGCTTTAACAGTTTGAGGTCTTTATAATATGAATTTTAAGCTCTAGATTTACTTTTGTGTTGAAAGTTCTATTGCTCTTTCTTTGCATTGTTTTTGTTAGTGGGAAATCTGGCTCTGAAGTGCATTAGGGGGAGATTCACTTGCTGCAGGGCTAGTGAACTGGCATTTTTCTGGCTAGAAAATAAAAATAAACATTTCAAAATCCCTGAAAGAAACCACTTACTTTTCATTGAATCATGAACTGTTACAGAAGTGTTGTGGGAGTGAAGTACTGAAATAGAGTGGAGACCAACAGCCCTTAGTCTAGCTTTTAATACTTTCAACCATGGGATCCTTTCTGGGAGTGTTTGTAAAATGCTAAATGTTACAGCTGATTTATTTTTTCAAGTACAGTTAAAATTTATCACTTGTGTTGAAGGATGGATTTTTAATTCAATTTAAAATGCATCTTTTTGTATTTTAGAATTTGAGAAATGAAGAACAGGTTGCAATAATCCAAGCTGGGACTGTGCTTTCCCTCTGTGAAAAGGTAGAATTCAGTAAAGATTTCTCTCTGCCTAAAGTCTCACCATGTCTTCTAAGATCTCACATAACTTTGCCAGGGAAGCATGGCTTTTCTGTTAAAGTTGTCTGGATGTGGAGCATGTATTCATCCTTACCTGACTGTTGGGGTTGTGACGTCTTGAGGTAAAATCAAACTTACAAAATAAATCCAATTTAAAAATAACAATGTGTTTTGGAGATATTCCCCTAGAATAAAGTACTAGAAAGCCACTTAACAGGAAAGACTTATTTCTCAGGAGTGCCAATGTCCTCCTCTCTCTGGTAACAGAGAGCTCTGAAGTCTTCTGTAAATTGTACCATTGTGGGACCATTTTTGTGTATGACTGAAAAACTCTAAGTGGTCTGTGGGCCTTTCCTCCAAAAATTACTGGGCATACATAGCGAAATACATAGTGGAAAAAGTAGTTTCTACAAGACAGGTAATCAGTCAGGTCACTCAATTCTGCATGAATAGTTCTTCTCCAATTACAGAGGGAATATAATCTGTATATGAATAAAGATGACATTTAGATTTGCCTTTTTCTCTGAAGAAGCTTTGTTTTCATAGGTTTTTATTAAATCTTTCCTAGATGCATTTTTGAAATTCAGAATCAGAACTTTAAAATTAAAGTTTGAGCATTTTATAATAATTGCTGTAATTGGTGTAATTTTGATAATCTACTTATCTCAATAACTTAATGTAGATAACCTAGATTAGGTAATTTAATAATCATTGATTTTAAGTGAGTGATTGCTATAAGCAAAATAAAGAAAATGAAGAATTAAGTGAGTGATTGCTATAAGCAAAATAAAAACGAAGAAAAGCACTAAAGTCCCTATGTTTTTCATTGCATTATAGCATTAAAAAGAGGAGGTGAGGATCATAGCCCTTTACATCCAATAAAGAAAGTGAAAGAACCCCAGTGCACAAGACCAAACTTTAGGGACTGGACTGGATTATTATTCCTTAAGTAAATTAGTGCTTGTGCAAAAAGTGCCACTGGAATTAGTAAACCTGTTTAATTTGTGTCAGTATTGCAGAATAGAATACACTTAGTTATCCTAAGTTATTTCCATTAGCAACTGATCATAACAATAAATGTTGGGAAGCTGTATCAAATGAAATAATTCCTCAAATGAATAGAAACATACAGTTACAATTAAGACTTTGTTTATGCTAAAGTTGGTCTATAATTTCACTTCACTTTTTTCTTATGTTGACAAAATTTCTACTACTTCCTAGTTTGCCTTAACTTTTTTTAGTTTTCTGGTCTTATCATATAATCTGGCTATTGCAGAAATTGGACACTCCATCAGAAAGACGGAGATTTCAGTTTTATCTTCTGTAGGTAAATAGACTGCATTTAAATAATGAGATTAAAATAGTTCATTTTATCAATGGACTCTATCCATTTTGTGTCATTTTAGTGAAGTGCCTCACAGTAACCTAGTAAGTACAAGCTGATAGCAAATTGAATCAAGATGGTACTCTGAGAAGCATGAAACCTTTTTTTTTTTTTTTTTTCCTCATAGTGCACATTTGAGGTACAGACTAAATCAAGTTACTCTAATTTTCTCCATTCTCTCTCTGACTTCTCCAGAAGGCGCTATCCATGTCCAAAGTTTACTAAGACAAAGAATAGTAGAAAATAATATTATGCTGTCCTTAACAAAACAAAAACAATACCACATTTCATAATACTGTGTTTCACAGCACAGAAAAAAATCAAAGTCCGATAAGTAAAATTGGGTGATTGTTTTAACCTAAGTTCTATTGGGTGCATATACTGAGTTTAGAATAAAGGAAATTTAAAGCAACTCCCCTGCCTTCTCCAGAGTAATGTAGTCATCTCAGATGTCCCTCTAAATAAGGGCTAGACAGCTTCCCTCGTGCATTTTTATAGCTCCTTAATTACAAAATTATCGCATATTGTCATCTTGTAGTGGGACCATTTGCTAGAGCAATGGTGCTGCAGACATAGATGTGCTAGTTATAGTCACATGTGCTAATTAGTTCACACTCAATGTTTATTCAGATCAGATCTATTATATCCAGGCACTAGAAGTGATCCTTTGGAAATCAAGCTGTCAGGCAAGGAAAATTTCTGGGTTCTGCTGGCACAATTTCAGAAGCTTATTTTGAATGCTACAACTGGTTACGAGTCCTAAATACATGGTTGTCTCTTCTGTACCCCTTGGTTCCAGAAAGGCTTACAGACAAAGGAAGATGAGAATCAGTTTGGCATATCATTCATACCTTCAAAAAAATTAGACCTCTACTTTTTGCAAATAACCCTTCATTTGCAAATATTGAGGGTATCTGTGAGAGATGCTGAAGACTTCACATTTCTATTGATTTCAAGGGTTCAGAATGCTCACTGTCTTGTGGAATCCTTCATCAGCAGAGAGGATTTTTTTAGGAATATCTTCAGCCTGTCACCTTCAAAATGAAGAAAGCAAAGTTGATGAGAATAGAATCACTGGGTGTTTCTGTTCACTTTTTTCAGCTTTGTACAAAATAGAAAAAACAAGTTTACATTTTTATCTACCAGTCTCTTACATAGTGAAAGGTCTAAAAGGATGAATTAATGCATTCACATTTTGCTGATTTTAAACTTATGTTTGCAGATTTCCTATGTAAATCTTTGGAAAAAAAATGGATATGTCATTAATTCCTTTGAGTCTGAGCCTAAATGAACTCATCAAACCCCTACATTTAAAAAAATCAATATGTAATACTTACCAAAATAATTAAACAGGAGTAATCTAGTGTTAGTAAGCAAAGCATTTGAGGAAAATGATAATTTTTAGTGGCAAAACTACATTTGGTCTTAATGGAGATGGCACTACAAAAAGAGGCATTAGCCTAAGCTATACTCTCTGTAAGCTAGTCATTGGTCCTTATTGTATACCAATAAGGAAATGAAACAAAATTCAGAACCGAGCATTTCCATACATTCTTAAATGCTGAATATAAATACAGTGACACTTAATAATTAAACAAGAAACTTTTATCTGTGCATTTAAAAATTATAATATGTAATTTTACCTCTGGAATGTAGTGGCCATTCTTCTGATTGGTTTGTTTATCACCAGAATGGTAAGGGATTCACGGTAGCAACTGCATGAACTTCCATCTGTCTGTCCATTTTATTGTTCCCTCTATGTTACTGATGTGAGTCTCTTCCCATGAAGGGTGCAGAAAACTGTGCAAAATAAAGGATCAAGTATGCCACCTTGTCTTTTGTTTAGATTGCCATCTGGAAAAACGCACGACTGTTGTCCTGAAATCATATGATGGTTTCGAAAATCGGGCCAATAAACACTGGGTATATCAAGTTGGAAACCATCAGGTTGATTTTGCATTCTTCACCCAAGTTTGTTTTGTGCCTTGAACTTTAAATGGGGGGAACCCTCTAAATTTATTGTAGAAAAAACAGCCTCCACTTGTTAGTCTTTAGTATGTTTCTACAGTCCTTCATTCTGCCCATGTTTTCACTACCTGTTTATTTAAACTTCAAAGTGACTCAGGTAGCAATAGGGGAGCATATACCTGGAAGTGTTGGCAAAAAACTTTCAAAATGTTTGGTACAAATTGTTCAAAAGCTCTGGTTTTTTTCATTTTTTATTTTTTCCTCTTCACATGGCCGTGTTCACATAGTGGTTAAAACAGATAGAGGGAACAGAAGCTGCACTGACACAGAAGATGTTAGACCTGGAGAATGAAAAGGTAAGGAGCAATAAATAAAAATATAATTAATTTAGCAAAAACTGAATTTAAGGGAATGTGTATAAACTTCATCACAGATTGATTTGCTGCCTTTCTTTGCTTAACAAAGGTTGCTTCATGGTAAAATCCACAGGAGGTTCCTAGAACAATTTATTGCTTGTATTTTTTGGTGTGGGAGGCAACTGTCAAAGCTATATAGAACAAAAATAGCAAAATATATACCAATCAGAACACAAAGGCATAACTTTACAGAGCATATTAACCAAACAGTGAGAAATTGTCTTTGTGCTTTCTCTGTGTATTAACTTCTCTGGCAACAGCATCTGCTTTTTAATCTTGAGGTCACATTAGTAGAATTGTCAAGGATATTCCTTTGCTCTCTGGTATTCAGCTTCTGGACAAGTTGTAAGGACCTCTTACTCCAGATGACCTTTCTTGCCCCAGGGTCTTCACGGTTAAAGACAAAATGTTTTCTCAAAAGCAGTTCTGTCTTGCATTAACAAACTCAGTGCTATACTGACCTAATTTTTCCATATGTTGAACAAAGAGTTATGGAACGAGTGTTTGGTTTTATTGGTTTACCATGCATGCTGTGCTTCTCATCTTCAAATGGCTTTACAAACACTGATTAATCCTCACCACACCTTTTATAGGTAGATAAGAAATCAGCGTTACATTCATCTTAAAGAGTGGGAAACTGAGACAGGGAGGTTGAATGATTTGCCCCGGGCCACTGAAGAAGTTTGTATTTGGGCCACAATCAAAAAAAGAAGTGCTCAGACTGTGTTCTCTGCCGAGTGTAGCCCATACTGGTTATACTTTAACATAGATACAATCCTTTCCACATTTAGTATTTATTTTTAACTTTGTTAAGGAAAAATGCAAAGGTTTTGGAGAGGAAAAGTGCCCACCAATACTAGATTCTTTTATAAAAGGATTTGGAAAACAGTAGTTTCTTTCTAACTTGGTTTATTATCCTCCCACTTATTATTTGTGATGTTTTGAAGTTTTACTCTGGATAGCCCTGCATCTATTTGTTTAGCATAGCCATCTGAGAGTCTGCATTGCCAATGATTGACTCAATTATAGAAATAATATTTTAGTGTGACACTTTCAGAAAGGCTGAGCACTGGTTTAGTTGTCCTTGGAACTCACATTAAGAGTTTGAGATCCTTTTCTTGTTTCCTTCCCACTTTTTGTGACCAGCTTTTACAGAAGCCTTTGGAGAAGAAACATGATCAGGGCAGCTGTGTTATTGTGGGACTTGTTGGTAGCTCTGGCCCTCTATAGTCTTGGGCAAGTCAGCCTACTTCATGTCAGACACTTGTTAGGATCCAGCCTGTCCTTTACGATGTGTTACACAGCACATGGTGGTATTGCATCTTGTACCACAGCCATGTAATTGTTGCTGTGGTCCACCTAAGAAAATAATGCCACCTGGGTGGTCGAGGTGGGATTCAGTTGCATAAGCATGGTGTCTAATGCCATATTACATTCTTCAGAGTTCAGAAAGGGGCTGAGAAATACGTCCTACAGGTCCTGTTGGAGTCCCCTGCTCTTCTGGACCAGCAGCTGTAGTAGTATACCCTAAAATGGCGATAGGATGACCATCTGTGGCTAACTGAATTCCAGCCTCAAGATCAAAGTCTGACTTAAACTTTGGTTCTACTTTCAATATTAATTCATTTGTAATTAAAAGAACTCCAAGTTTACAAAAAACTTGAATAATAGATATTATAATTCTGATACAGAGAACAAATAGCAACTTGTTCCTCTGAGTCCTCTAATTACTGGTCTTGTATGTTGCTGCTATCACCAATTATGAGTTGTTCTTAACAAGTGAGAGGTTGTCTGTGGTCATTTTATGCTCTGATCCACTCCCAAGTATTTATTTGCTGATCAGTATGGATTTGTTTTAGACCAGATATTTGGAGTGAGAATTCATCATCGCGCTTCATGCTTAGGCAAATTCTATGTCAGTGCTACACAGCTGACAGAAGAGCTGTCAGAAGTCCCCATATATGTCTCTAGGTAAAATTTGAACAAATAAGTGACTTTGGGGCAATCCCATATCCAACAAAACTAACCAGACCAGCAACTTTTGATTTTTTTATACTGTTAATAAAAGCTATAATCAATCATCTTAAGAATGCTATGTATGTAATTTGGCGTTTATTCTATATGTTGGGAAATACAAGAGTTTTTTCCAAGATTCTCCTTTTCTATTCAACATACTAAATTCAATCAAAGGGCTTCTCTGCTTTCTGGACTACTACTATATTTTTGAGTATGAAAACCTGCCTTGAAAGAAAAGTTAAAAAAATCAAGTAACTATTTTATGTTCCACTTTCTGTCACCCAAACCACTCTAAAGTCATGTTTTGCAAGAGCACAGTCGCAAGTCAGATCTCACTTGCCTATTCAGACAGCCATTCAAATGTTCACAACTTTTTTGCAACATTATGCTTTTGGATATTGAGTTCCACTGAAATCCAAGCCTGTGTTATATTTATATATATATATATATAAAAATATATATGTATATATTTATAAAACTGTGAAAGTTGTTGAGTTGGATTTTAAAAACAAAAGCAAAAAAATCCCTGTAAATTCTAGGTATGTTGAAAACTTCTTCAGTTAAAGTCACTTAACCTCTCTGGGCATCACTTTACCCATCTCAAATTGGCTTCCCACCTTTAAAAGTTGAGGACTGAGCTTTTACTTCTGCTTCACTAAGCATTGGGCCCTGGACGTTCTGGCTTCCTGCCTGGAATACAATACAGGTTATGGTTTCCCCATAATTTCCTTAAGGGTGCACACTGGGTATTTTGAGAGAAGCAATAAAGTGCCCTTGGTTGTTTCTCTTTCCTCCCTTGGCCTGCCCCGTGCAAGTAATGGCTGTTGGACCACACGCATGCATATTCCCATTCACCTTTCTGCCTGTGTGTACTTCTGTCAGGTCAAGGCAGGTTTGTACACTGGTGCAGAGGTCTATACTTTATAGGTACAACTTGTTAATGTGACACACATATTTTAAGTGCTCATATTGTAAATTGGATATTCCAAATATCCTTAGGATGAATGTGGTCATTGGCTATAGATTTTCTTTGCATTCAAGTGGCAAGCTCACATAAAAATGATGGCATTTATGATTCTTCATGAATTAGGATAAAGAACAAACACTCCCTTGTTTTTACTATTGCTCAGGACCTGTTCAGTAAACAGAAGGGTTATTTAGAGGAAGAACTGGACTACAGGAAGCAAGCTCTGGACCAAGCATACATGGTAGGAAAAGATCAGTCATTAAATTTTCATGTTTGAACAAGTTTTATAAAATGCGGGATTTTTTCTTTTTTACTCTTAATTATATATAGGGTTCTTTTTAAAATTGATTAATTTTTCTGCCAGACTAGGAAATCAAGTAGTACTTAAATGAAGCCTTAGAAAATGGATTGTACTATTAAGACTTGTAATGATTTTGCCTTGCATTTCTTATTCTAAAATATGCGAATATCTTAGTACATCTGGAATGGGAAGAGCTGATCTGTATGTGCACAAAATTATCACTGGTAAAATACACAAGAATTTACTTTAGAACTTTTCTAATTTTGCTTTTTCCTAAGTGTTTGTAAATATTACTGCTGCTAATCTATCCCAAGTTGGGAATGCCTGTTGTTCCTAGGCGATTACTTTTTGTGCTGTCCTAAACAACCTTACCTTTCCTAGTTTTCCAAAGGGAGGCTGCAACCTTGCCTTCTCTCAGGCCAAGCAACAATTAGGAATTATCTAAGATTTGCTAAAATCTGCACACCCAACCTTGTTAATAGGGAAACTTCAGGGAATCAAAATATAATGGCCTGAAGAATTACGTATACATTGTAAATATTTCTTATGTGGAAAATGTTTTCAGCAAAGAAGCAAGGTCTAGTGCTCGGAGGAGATAACAGAGATAAAAGCAAGGAGGCTCTATTTCTAGCACTGTGACCTTGGGCAAGCCGTTTAACCTCTCTGTGCAGCTGTTTATGCATCGCTAATATGGATTGAATTACCTGCCTCACAAAGGTGTTATGAGGGCTAAAGGGATGTTGTCAGATGCTCTTGATCCAAGTGTATTGTCAGTCTGGATGCTGTTTTTTAATAGGATCATACTAACCCCAGCAATCAGGGAAAAGCTGCCATGATTCCTTTCTTTCTGTACTCTTGGGAGTATAGTTCTCTGTATGAATGTAAAGTTCTCCTGTGCTCTCTGCTTTGAAAAAATACTGCAGTTTTGGTCAGTGCATGAGAATCTGGTTAGGAATCTGACAACTGGCAAGAGACTGGTGAGGGATTAGTGTATGCAATTATTCAAGTTTTCCTCTCTTCATTGTTTATGGCAACTTTGAACTAAGGCAGTTGCAGGCTTTGAGCAATGGATGGCAGGACAGTAAGGTCAGAGAGAGGGAGACAGCAAGATTTCTGTTATTCGCAGTTCTCCCTGTGGGCTTTTTATTTTATAGGATGGCTTAATAATTCAGTTGCAGTTGAAGGGAATCTGTTCGTTTGCATTAACTTTGTGCTGTTCAGCATCAGAGACTGGGGTTTTGTTATGTACTGAACACAGACTTACCATCTGAACTTTCTTAAATAGAAGAAATCAATAATTTACTGGAACAGGAAGCATTGCCTGGGTGTAAATCAGTGCCAGGAGGCTACGTGCACTCTGTGTGGAATGCTCCTCACTGCTCACGACTGCCGCTTTCCGTCTCCCTGTCTGTGTCCGTCCTGCCCTCCTGCCTCAGGCTTCGCTTGCTAGCCTTCTCCTCTAGCGGGTCGTTTGCTTGCTGGATTCAAACGGCAGCCTTGTTGTCTGTATGTGATTTGGGTTGCACTAGAAAATCCAGGAGCTGGAAGCCACGCTGTATAATGCCCTGCAGCAGGACCCGGGAAGGCGGGCGAGCGAGTCGCTGACGGAAGCCCAGCGGGAGGATTTGCGAGCCGCCGTGGAGAAGGTGCGGCGGCAGATCCTGAGGCAGAGCCGCGAGTTCGACAGCCAGATCTTGCATGAGAGAATGGAGCTGCTGCAGCAGGCACAGCAGGTAACCCCCCCACCACTTCTCTCTCCTCCCCTGGCGGCAGATCCTGAGGCAGAGCCGCGAGTTCGACAGCCAGATCTTGCATGAGAGAATGGAGCTGCTGCAGCAGGCACAGCAGGTAACCCCCCCTCTTTCTCTCTCCTTCCCCCCCTTGTCGGTGTTACCTCTGTGGTGGCCGCCACTGCCCGTACGACAGCATCGCTTCACCCTCACCTCGTTGAGTTCCGCTCAGTCTACTCTTTGTCTTGCTCCCGTGTCAAGGAGAGAGGAGCAGCGTCAGGAACCCGGTTGCACTGGGCATGGTGCACACACACACACAGACACACACACACAAAACGGGTCACTGTCTCACTACAAGATCCTGTTGCACAATCTGTTTCATCTGCGTACAGCCACACAGTCTTCCACAGGACTCCAAGGGGAGCTTGCTGCGAGTTTAAGGCCTAAATTAGAAAAAGTCGAAATAGAAGGTTGCAAGAGTGTAACATTATGAAAAGAGGAGAGGCAGAAGCAGCAGTTACAGGAATTGATTTTTTTTCATTTTTTCCCCTTTCTATTTCTTTGAGGTAGTTGTGAAATCTTTTAAAATTAAAAAAGGAATTCACGGGAAGTCTTTTAAGAGGCCATTTGCAAGCCTTCATGGCTTTAAATTAGTTCAGAAAAGCCTTGTCTGTCTAAGCCAGTTGCTTAAGGACAAATGATGACAACACGAATTCAGGCAAATTCCTGGAAAGTGTAGTAATTATTTTCTGAAGAAACTTTTGGTAGGATCACTAGTTTTTCTGTGAAAATGTTCAGGGAAAGAAGGGAACTGCATGTCTCAGTGTGTCATTTATTCCAGCAGGAATAATTGTTCCTAGGGATTTTGGTTCCTCTTTATAATAACCTCTGGAAGATGCAGCTAGATGTCTTAGATCTTGAGGACCACCCTCCAGTTGCTCTTGCTACTTTCTATGCAAATCTGGAATCACATATTATAAATGCCAGACTCTGCTATCCAGATGTATTTGGCAGGTTGTTACTGTCTCGGATGCTGGTTACTGGGGCAAGGACTGAGTTTAGTTTAGTTCAAGCCTCTCATTGTTTGGGTTGGCTTTGTAGGTAAATATAGACCACAACTGATGTAATGTACTGACCTGGTGCTGTTGTGCTCATCTCCTGTCATCCTGCCGTGACGAGAAGTGCTTATGGTGCCAGTGTTAAAGCTGAGTTCTGACTTCCTAGAAGTCTCATTTCTCTTACTCCTTCACTGTGTTCCCTGAGTTTGGAACATGTGACACTGAGACCAAGAGATGAATCTTTTTAATGGATGTCAGATCAGTGATGGTGTACAAAAAGCTGGGGAAGGTAAGCACCAGCTGCTGCTAAATGTGTCAGAAAGAGAGTAGAGTAAATATATGAAATTTGGTAAGGATGGAGCCAGAAGTTATTATCTTAATCTTATTAATGTAGCTGAAAATTAGTGAGAAACGGGATCTTGCCAGTCTTTTAGAAAGTCCAAATTCCTAGCCAAGTATCAGGGGTTTAGTTTGGACTATATTCTGTTTGGTCCCTGGACTGCTCACTATTGGTCAGAGCACTTTAGGAGCATCTGGAGCACATTTCCAGTTGAGTCCAGTCCTTGTATTCACAGGCTGGTCCCCAACATAAAGCTAAATATGATGAGTGTGGAAGAAAACTTCGCTCCTGCTCTGAATAAAAATGCTAGCATAAACATATCCTCATTAGCCATGGATGTTTATGTAGCTGTCTCCAGATCCATTCTATGCTGTGTCACTGGAGTTTCGTGTTGTGCCCATCTCATTAGACATGCTAATGTTACAGCTCTACTGCTTAATAAGGAGCTAAGTATTTTAGTAATTTATTTTTAACCCCCCCTAGTAGACAGGAAAGACAAAGGCAAGGACAGTAGTAAATTTGCCTGGATATGGGAGACTAACAGATTGCATTTGAAATCTTTTCCTCAGTTTCTTCTTCTCAGTTGTTTTCTTCTTGAAGGTTGTATTTGTGAGTCCTTATGGGGACCAGTGATCAACACTAATAACCTAGTAATTTGTATGCACATGTCCATGGTTTAAAAAACCCAACCAAAGAAAACCTCCTGGCGTGGATCAGTAGTGTCACAGGGCTAATTCTGATATGATTACATTCATCTAAGCTTAGCAGATGGCAGCAGCTGAAATGCTACAAAAATGAGAGCATACCTGTGTTGGCAGAGTCTTAAGGTATGGATGAAGCCACTCTAAGTGTAGTACCTCCCTAGGTGCTACATTAAATGAATCCTCTCTTTTCTTTGGCTGACATTGTGGCATTAACAAGCACCCATTACACTTTATTTTGGCAAAACCATAGTCTAGGTCTGGTCATATTTGTACAGTCTGCACCACCCTTCTTATTCTGCTGAAGTGGAGATTATGGAGAATGATATGATAGCGTGATGGACTTGGAAGCCTTAATACAGAATGTCCTTGTTGCAAACACTCTCAAACATTCCCTGAAATAGAAGCCACCTATTAAAGACTCCAAATTCTCTGAAACTCTGGAAGTTTGATCCCTTCCAGAAGGCCTGTTTCTTTGCTTCCATTAACTTCTGGTCTGCCCAATACAAGGGTTTCAAAGGAACAACTGTGCTTATCCTGGCAGGCTGGTTACTACCTTCTCTGAGTCAGTTTCTGTGTCAGGCATACAGAGTGGGGGTCCAAGAATATCTGATGATGGAAAAGGAGTTCTCTCCTTCTGCGTGGAAATGGTCCTTGACCCCTTGCTGGGTGAAGAAGTGACAAGGCATGTGATATAGGGAAGTCTGCAGGGTTTCATTGTAAGTGAACTGCTTCATGCAGAGACTTGGAGGATTTAGCTTGTGAGATGCTGGGGAAAGTGCTGTCTGAAAGGGACAGGGGCGTGCATAAGAAAAGTGGGTAAACTGTTGTCCAAATGTGAGCCTGTGCTGCTTTATGTGTGCTGCTTTGTCCAGATATAAAGCCTTAGTTCTTAGCCACTGGGTATTGACTTCGTTCCAGTGAAATAAATGTATTTTAGGACGTTGGGCCCTGTTTTACATTGGTAGGTCTGTTCATCTGTGCATGGCCCCACATCATTATTGTTCGTTAGTATATAAATGGAACCATTCATGTACACCCATTCTGTATTAAGGAAACCAGGCCTCTGTGGAGCCAAATTAGACAGACTGTGTGATTAGATCTGCTTGCTAAGGCATACAGTGCTTTTATTAAACCCAGAGTGCAACATGCAGGTCTGGGGGACAGATCCTCAGCCAAAGCATATTGACAGTACTCCCTTTACGTCAAAGAAGGTGCTTTGATTTACACCATCCTCTCTATTTGGAGGAGGCAAAATATGTTAATTAAAAATCTGTCATGAGCAGCTTGTGATATTTGCTTCTAGCCATAGGGTATGTGCAGTTCAACTGCTGTTCCTGTATATATTGCCATCAAAAATGTCTCATTGTGCTACACTGTTATTATAAGCTCTTATAAATCAGTGTCTGGTTTATTTTTAGCAAGACTTCATTTTAAAAGTAACTTTTGTGCTCTAGTCAGTGCAGTGGCATGACTTTTGTGAGCTTTGGAAAATACGAAGATCATTACTAGCAAGTTCTCCTAAGAAGGGTAGTTTTTTATATGTATATAACATGCTAAGCCATTTTGAGAGAGAGAGGAAAAACGTGTCGGTGTAGCTATAAAAAACATCTCTGACAAAAAATATTTCAAATGGAGCGATATGTGTTTCTGAAGCAGTATATAGAGTTCTTCATTAAGCAAACTCAATTCCTCCCCCCACCAGAAATAAAAAATAACCAAAACCCAAAAAACTAAAACCACCCACCCCCAAAAAAAAGAACACAAAAAATCCACACAGCATTCTGGTTATATCACCTTAAAAATGTATTGTGATGATGTTATCGGCTGAAATTAATAAATACTTAAAAATCAAATTGTGCTTTACATAAACCAGATGGGATTGAACTTAAAATATATTCCTGTTGGTTTGACTGTAGCTGCTTCTGGAGCTTAAAACTGTGGAAAGTCATCAGAACCAAGCTTTAAATTAGGATAGATTAATTCAAATTGCACAGTTGGCAGTACTCAAACATAAAGAAAATTTATAATAGAAATAGAATTTATTCTGATTTCATTTTAAGTTATTTTAAATAAAAAGAAAAGCTAGGAAATCCTTGAAGGGCAGCAGATTGACACACACTCAGTTCAAAAAATGCTTGCTGCCAATCAGGAAGGATATGAGAGACAGATTTTATTAATGTAATCCAAGAATTTCCCAGAGCAGTCTCATCTTTGTATAAAATTGTAAGAAAAAAGAAGTAGAAAACATATGTTAGTTCATTGTGTCGCCCAAAAGTGTAAAGCTTTTTTCTCTCTGTATTGCACTGTAGTACTGTACTAAGCTGGTGATGTTTTACTCTAACTTGGGTTGGAATATTCTTGGGTGGAGTTCAGTTTTACAGAGTAAAGCAAACCATTCAGCTCTAGACCTGAATATAATATGCCTGTGGAACGCTGAAGGCAACTCTGAATACTTGGAATATAGCTGTAAATATTTTAGCTCTGATTTCTTTAAACTATAGCATTTGCTCCTCTGACCAGATTGGATTATTCATTAGTAATAAAAGCAGAAATTGCAACTTTATTTGTACATTTTACTAGAAGAAGCCATAGGAAAATCCTTTAGGACAAAACATGTATAACTCGAAACTGACCTCTATATGTCACTGCCATAGAGGAGGATTCACTGAAAATGTGATGCCTCAGGCACTTTTTTTCATGGACTCCAAGGACAAGTCAGAAGCAGTGATATGTTTTTCGATCCTGAAATGACAAAATATAGATATATCTTGAAATTGATAAACACCAAACTAATTTCCTTCACTAAGTTTCCTTGTTCCTTTTTTTTTTTTCCCTGACCTGAAAAGCCAAGTTCTTACTGCTTAAAGGTCAAACAAGGCAACAGAGGATTCCATTCCTCCA